CATGTGGACAACTTTTAGCTGTAGAACCAAGAATGTTCTCAATGACATATCTGATGCCCCTGGATCTTATTTTGTGCAAAGAAGTGGGCACCGTTCTCAGGAGCTCCTCAGTACCCTATGTGCATTTCTCGGGTTTTCCTCACCAAGGTGAATCTGCCATTTCTTCCTGAGACTCCCTTCTGCAGAGTTTCTATTACAGGACTCAGGGCTTTGCTCGTGATACAGTGCAAGGGCTGCCCAGCGAGAGACCAACTGGCACTCTCAGGTCCCGTGGTAGGAAGGCACCTCAGCACAGACACTGTTGCACCACTGTACATACCTACCAGGGCTGCAGCTGTGCGTTTACTCAAAGTGGAGAGAACGTGGACCACCGAATGTGGTCCCCGGAGCACCACCAGGGGTCACTTCTGAGCACAGAGATAGGACTAAGCCACTGAGTGTTACTATGTGTAATCCAAACACCCTTCCCCCCAAGAAAAACGTCCTGTCCACAGAGACCCATCCACAAAGGCTCACAGAGGCATATTTGCAAGAGTTGAAAGCTGGAACCAGCCCAAATGTTCATCAAGAACAAATGGCTAAAGCTGCGGTGAGAAGTACACAGCAGACCATGGGTCAGCAGCAAGCAGACATGCATTATTGATACAAGCAAGGAAGCTCAGTGTAACATGCTGAGTGCAAGGAGAGAGGCGACAGAGAAAAATGATGATTCCGTTTCTATGAAGACCTAGGAAAGACAGGATGATCTGTCTGGATGCAAAGGAATAATTGCTTCCCTGGGATGCGGGTGTGGTGAGGAGAAGGCAGGACAGAGCAGGGATCACAGATGGTCCAGGAAACCTCTGCTTCTCTCGACCCTGGCTGTGCTAGGGGTTTTGTGGGTATATAGATGTGCCAGAATGGAACCAATGACACCGTGGTGTGTGTGTGTGTGTGTCCACATATGTGTACTGTCCCGGTCTGGGGCTGGGGAGACAGCTCAGAGAGGTGCAGTATGCCTGGCATGAACAAGCTTGGGGTTTGGTCCTGGAACCACAGGCTCTCCATGTCCCTCTGATGCAGCCTTGGTGGGCGCAGAGTAATGGGCCCAGCTCTTTGGTTCATTGTATGCTTTCTTATTTGTTTGTTTGGGGCCACACCCGGCAGTGCTCAGGGCTTACTCCTGGCTCTGCATTCAGGGATCACTCCTGGTGGTGCTTGGGGGACCATATGGGTGCTGAGAATAGAACCTGGGTCAACCAGCAAGGCGAGCCCTCTACCTGCTGTACTCTCTGCAATCCTTCTCTTTCTTCCTCCCTACCTCCTCTCTCTTTCTTTCTTTCTTTCTTTCTTTCTTTCTTTCTTTCTTTCTTTCTTTCTTTCTTTCTTTCTTTCTCTTTCCTCTTCTCTCATTCTTTCTTCCCTCCCTTCCTTCTCGATTTCTTTCTCCTTTCTCTCATTCTTTATTCCCTCTCTTCTTTCTCCTTCCTTCCTTCCTTCCTTCCTTCCTTCCTTCCTTCCTTCCTTCCTTCCTTCCTTTCGTTTTTGGCTCACACCTGGCAATGCTCAGGGTTTACTCCTGGCTCTGTTTTCAGGGATCACTACTGGAAGGACTCTAGGGACCATACAGAGTGCCAGGGATTGAATCTGGGGTCAGCCCTCCCCACTGTAGTATTTCCCCAGCCCCTAATTCTTTTTGACCTAGAGAGGAAGAGAATTTCCATGAATAATACTTCAGGTCTTCCTAAACATGGGTAAGTTATGTGCACTGATTGAGGTCATTCTCGGGCATTTAAAATTTTCATACCGTGTTGAATGGGAGCTTTCCTTCCCCCATTATTCCCAATGGGGCTTGCTGCTCTTTTGGAAAACCATACTTTTCCTCACCATTAGTTTATTACTTCCTCTTCGGGTAGGGCGTTTGCCTTGCACGCAGCCAACATGGCCGACCTGAGTTCGATTCCTCCGCCCCTCTCGGAGAGCCCGGCAAGCTACCGAGAGTATTCAATATGCCAGACACAGTAACAACAAAGTCTCCAATGGAGACGTTACTGGGCCCGCTCGAGCAAATCGACGATCAACGGGAGGGCCTTTACCTTTACCTTTTACCTAATAATGCTCAGACTTTTAATGACATCATTTGACTTTGTCAAGTCAAGAAGGTGTTAGTCATGTCAATTTGGTTTTTATTTCTGATAGTCAATCTTGAAAAAAAAAATCCTGGGGCCAGATGTATAGTACAGCAGGGTGGGCACTTGTCTTGATTCTCCTGCATTTCATATGGTCCTGAGCACTATCAGGAGTGAACACTGATCATAGATCCCAGAGTAAAGCCAAGTCTGGCTCCAGAACAAACAAACAAAAATCCTATCTTGTTGCATTAGCCAGAAGTTTCAGAAAATATTAAACTATATGGGTTCTAAGCAGGAACTTTCCTTTAACTCTGATTTTAGCAGGAAAGTCTGAGTGTTTCGAGCATAATTTTGCTCTGGGATTCACCCAATGTTCACATTCTAAGATCAAGACTGGATGTAGACAGTGGAGCTGAGAAGCAGAGGACAGAATCACCTCTAAACGGTTTCTTCTGGTTTGGGGTTTGAACTACGGAGTTTGGATCAGGCCATACATTAGCACCATCTTTGCAAGCAGCAAACTTTGAAACTGCCTAAACTGGGTGACATCTTAGCTGGTGCTTTGGGGAAGATAATGGTGACGTTCATATCTATCTATTCATGTCCTGCAGAATGCTCCAACTACATTTGCCCTAGGAACTGGGCTTCTAGGAATGTTCTTCATCCTAGAGAGCAAGCCACCTGCCGCTCTGTCTGTCTGAAGGTTTGAACCTCAAGTGACTTTCCCAGGCATACCTTCTAACCTGTTTTTATCTCAGAAGAGCATTTTCAGAAGGAAAAAAAAACTGCCCTTCAAAGAAGACTGTGGATATCTATCTCCATAGGGTTCAAACAACTCATCACACCCACTAACACTTCTTTCCTTTTCGTTTTTGATAATAGTCATCCTGATGGATGAGATACTTGTTTTTTAAATTTTTATTTCTTAATTGATTAGTGACATTGATCTTCTTTTCATGCACTTATTGGTCCTATGCAATTTTTTGTGAAATGTTTATTGATCTTTTGAATGGAGCCATTTGTCTAAAGTTATAAAAATTCTCATTATGGATATTAATATCTTACATGTGTGATCTGCAAGTATTTTTTTCATTCTTTTTGATAGTCTTTTATTCTATTTATAGTGATCTTGGATGCACAGAGAAATTTTTTATTTTATTATTGGAATTTCAGTTATGATTATTTGTTTTTATTTCAATGGTTGGAATTTTAATGAATTCCAATATTCAATTTTCACCTTTGATGCCTAGGCTTTTGGTGTCAGACATAAAAACAGTTGCCAAAAAGTAATAGAATAAATAAAGCAGACTTTGGATGCAGGAATATCTAGAAATTGGCATTTTGGGGGTTGGGGGTCTACTCCCAAGCAGTGCAGGTGGAAGTTTAGGTTCTCCATCTGCTGACGAGGTGCTGCTCTGGATGGTCTTGAATAGGACTACCTGGACTGCTGGCCACCTCTAGGGCTGTGTGGGGGTGGCTTGATGGGGGGTGTGCACTGATAAGGATGGACTCTGGGACAGTATGCATGTCAGATGAATACCTTAACCCTCAAAACTTTCCCTAGCAAGATTGGGTGCCAGAGAGACTGTTTTGTTTTGTATCCTGGGAGCTGTTCTGTTTTGCACTCCTGGTATTAAACAGAATCAAGTTCAGACTCTGATTCTGATTGCAAGGGTTTTGTTGTTGGTGGTGGTTTTGGGGGTCACACCTGGCAGCAGTGTTCAGTGCTCAGGGATTATTCCTGACAGGACTCATGGGACCCTATGAGGTGCTGGGGATCACATTAGAGCTGGCTGTGTGCAAGGCAAGCTCTTCACCCCTCTACTTTTCCTAGGAACCTGAGTTTTGTTCTATTTTTCTCTTTCTTTTCATTTATTTACACTCTAATCTTGATTATTTTCTTCCTTCTTCTTGCTTTGGGTTTCGTTTAAGGTCTTCTGTTATTTTTTTTTTTAAGGTACCGGCAGAGGAATAAAGGCATGTGGGTCCCGGGGCTGAGATCTCTAAGCCTGCTCGGGTCGGGGCTGAGCATCCTCCACCCAGATCCTTCATCTTTCAGTAGGCAGGGGTCACACCCACCAACTGGCCCCCTGCACCGTGTAATCCCATCAAGGGCCAAGACCCAGAGACTATAAAACCCAGCTCCCAAAAGCGATATCTTATTATCTCATTTTTACTTTGGACAACCTGGCAGGCCACCAAATGTAACCTGCCCACACGGCAGAGTCTGGCAAACTCCCCGTGGTGTACCCAATATGCCAAATACCAGTAACAATGATGGGTCTCATTCTCCTAACCCTGAAAGAGCCTTGAATATGGCACTTTTTAAAATCTCAGGGCTAGGGCGAAGGAGACGTTACTGGTGCCTGCTCGAGGCAATCGATGAACAACAGGATGATTGTGATCATGAAGGTAGATCATCACATTATTGACTTCTGACTATTTCTCTTATTTATTTTTATTTGGGGAAGTCTTGGGGGCACTCCCAATAGTGCTCCAGAATTATTTCCAGCTCTGCATTCAATGGTCACTGTCAGAAGTGCATGGGGGAGTTTTATGGAACCCTGGTGAGTGGGAGCACCCTCCAACGACTGCTGTAGGTGGCTTCTGAATGCTTGCTGGGTGTGCAGCAGGCAGGACCCTAGACTGGGTGCTTCTCTGACCAAGCAACCTTCAAAAAATGCTGCCTGAGGCAGAAAGCAGCTCAGGCTGCCTCCTGAGGCCTCACCTGCTCTGAGGGCAATCCCATCTCTGCCCTCCCAGGAGAAAGAAGGGGGAAAAATGGTGGAGGGTACTGGGGACTCCCTGTGCCCCACACACCCACACTTGGGGGGGTCCTCACCACTCAGACATGCATGCATGAGGAAAGCAAAGGCCAGAGTCGAGGAAACCAGTCAGACTGCGTTTTTTTAATAAAATGAGATGAAAAAATAAATCTAGACACACTTCAAGTGTTACTTTCGCTTCCAACTTTTTTTATACGTTAAAGCTCTGAGTCTTTTATTTTTCTTTTCCTTCTTTTCTTATCCATATACTCTATGTAGAACTTTGCAAAAATAAACTTTCTCTTGCGGTACCTTTCCTTCCCTGCGTGCTCCTTGAGAACCAACAAACACACCTCGCACAGCACCCTGAGCGGAGAAGGCTCATAAATAACATGAACATCTATGGGATAGATATACTTTAAGATAGATTTCCCCCACCCCCCAAAAAGGCCATTGGAAAGTCTGTTGCTTGGGCTGCTGCTGGCCAGCTGCTGTGCCTGGAAGAAGCTTCTAGAAGTAGTAGGTATCCTGGCCCTGGAGGTTCTGCAGGTCCTGGCTCTGCTGCGGGGGGCTGGGCAGGAGCTCACTGTCCTGCTTGTCCATCTGCAAAGTACTCTGCGAGATCTGGAGGGTGCTGCCCAGCCCGCTGCCCAGGGAAAGCGAGGAAATCCAGTTGAAGGAGCCCAAGCTTGGGAGGTTGAAGATGGATAATAGGGGGGCCGCCCTGCTGGTATTGGGGGGCTTTGTCTTAGCATGCCTCGCACACTCACTGCGCTCTGCCTCCCTGGGGGTGGGGACCTCTGGGACTGGGAGCCCAACTTGCTCTGGCAGAGGGTCGCCCCGCACCAGCACGCCGGTCTCCACCACGCTGGGCTCCCCACTGGCTTCTGGGGAGCAGGAGGGCTTGGGCTGGGGGGGCTGTGGGGGCTGTGTTGGGCTGGGGTCCCTGAAGGAGGGCCTCGCGAGGCTTGGTTCCGATGGCCTGGTTCTCGGTTCTTGCGTGAGGGGTCCCTGAGTGGTGGGGAGTTTCGGGGGGAACTTCTTGGCCAGCTGTCGGCCCAGCTGAAGTGGGGTGGGGAACAGACTGCCCTGCAGAGCTTTGAAGAACAGTCTGGAAAGAGCAGACAGGAGATTGTCAGCTGCGTGTGATGCGGGAGTGTTTTCTGACACTCTGAGGGTGCGGGGGTTACTTATGCCTGGGTGGAGGGGCGGTCTGAGGTCTTGGATACCCACCTGGGCAAGAGAGCAGCGACAGGGGTGAGGAGGCAAGTCAGGTAGAAGAGGGGGTCACCCATCAGCGTCTGGATGGTCCAGTGAGGGTTGGACGGGGGGTAGCAGGTGGGACAGGACGAGTTGTAGATGAGAGCCACGGAGAAAAACAACACGACACTGAAGATGCACGTGATCCAGTTCAGCCAGGTCTGGGGGCAGGGAGAAGGGACTTGGGATTTACATCTGATTTGCGTCTGATTCCCACTTAAAAGCAGAACACATCTGATGAGAGAGAATGGAACAAAGATACCCCAGTTCGATCCCTGGCACCGTGTTTGGGGCCCTGAGTATCTCTGGGTATATCTGGAGGTCCTGAGCACTGCTCGGGGGGCTCAGAGATCCTTGGCATTGCGGGGGCCCAGGTCACATCACAACCACAGGCCCCGGGTGCTGACAGCCTGGTCAGCTGAGAATCACCCATGTGGCTCCTGGGCCTCCTTAATACTGCCCTCTCCCCAAAATAAAAAGTTTTACAGAGGCCAGGAAGATAGTGCAAGGGTGACCCCGGATGATCCATGAGCACAGAGTCACATGTGTGGCCCCAGCACCTTCTAGAAGGGTTCTGTGGGGACCCTTCTAGTCCCCACAGAAAGCTGAAAACCAGCAATCTTCTTGGTTTATCCTACGTGCTAGGAGAGGTCCTTGGGAGAGCAGGGGTGGAGAGAAGGGGGGAAGGAGCTAATGAGGCCCACAGTGAATGGAGGGGCAAGCGCTCTGTCCCAGGCTCCAGTGGGGCTGGACCAGTCCCCAGCAGTCTTGTCCTCCGGCCAGGTTGGCATTGCTAGACCCCTGCCTCCACCTGTACCCAGACTCAGTAGGAGAGTGCAGGGCAGGTACAGGGTGGACGCTTACCCAGGTCCTGGTCTCGATGCCCAGGTGAAGCAGGAAGGTGAAGAGGGCAATGGCCGTGATGGGTGTCCCCCAGGTAAAGACGTCTGCATCTGAGTCATAGTAAACCTGGAAGACAGCAGTCTCCTGGGACTATGGGTTCTCACCGGGGATGCATAGGGCAGGCCAGGCCAGCGGCCAACTTACCAGGTAAGGGATGAAAAAGCAAACCAGGCTTTGGAAGGCCGCATCTGCCATGTTCAACCAGAAGGTACAGGGCCCGTATTCCTGGGACACAAAAGGGGCACTGGGAATTATGGGGAGGGGGAGAGAAGAGGCATTCTCCGGGCTTCTTCCATACAGGACAGGGGAGATGTGCTAACTTGGGGGTTCTCGAGCAGTGAGGGTCCCACGAGAGAGCTGAGGAATTCTGAGTCAGTGATAGGAAAATGAAGCCTGTGTTCTGGAGCTTTGCACAACCTTCCTGGCTCTCTCAGTATCTTCCTGGTGGGGTTTAGTGCCTCCACAGGTGTCCCTACTCTGGATGCATGCATCTCCTTGGGACTGGGATGCAGCCATTCACCGTGACATCACGGTCACTCTCTGCACACAAGCAGGTTCTGTTCACTTCTCCCCCAAGGTCACAAATATGAACCATCGGTCTCTGGGGTGTGTGTGCAGGGAAGGAGGGCTCCTGAGGGGGATTGTAGAGGTTGAGAGGACGAGGAGTTGGGATCCCACCTCGATGCTCTTCCCGCTCCTGTAGAGCCGAGGCCGCGAGAGCAACACATGTGCTGGTACATCCTTATCCAGCACACCAGTCACGAGCTGGGGCAGCGACGAGAAGAGCAGGTTGAAGAAGATCAGGTACCACTGGTCGATCATGGTGGATGCAGAGAAGCCGCAGAAGAACTGGAACCAAAACAGGAGACACACGAACATCTGCAACGAGGGAAGGACGAGGAGGCCTGGCTGCTTTCCTGATACTGCAGAGTGCAGAGCCCAACATAGGACAGCCTCGCCCTGCATCTCCGTCTCTCCTCTACTCTGGTCCTGAAGCTGCAGGGCACAGAGTTCATCATAGGACAGTCTCACCCCACATCTACATCTGTCTCTCCTCTGCTCTGGTACTGATGCTATGGGGTACAGAGCCTGTCATAAGACAGCTCTCATCCGGCATCTCCATCTCTCCTCTGCTCTTGTTCTGATGCTTCAGGGTGCAGAGCCCATCACAGGACAGTCTCACCCTGCATCTACATCTGTCTCTCCTCTGCTCTGGTGCTGATGCTGTGGGTTGCAGACCTGTCATAGGATAGCCTCATCCTGTATCTCTTGTTTCTCCTCTCTGGTTCCCCTTAACGCAAGGGATCTGCCATAGCCACTTTATCTGGGATGAAGTCTTGAACCAGAATTGCTGAAGATCATTCATGAAAAGCAAATAAAGGTTTGACTTCTCAGTTCTTGGATGGCACCAGCTGTGAGAGGGCCAAGAATTATTTAATTTTATTTATTTAAAATATTAAATCACCTTGAATGACAAAATTATTCACGATTGGGCTTCAGGCATCCAATGTTCCAACACCATTTGCCTCTTCCCTACACCATTTCCCTCCTGCCTTCCAGTATGCCTCCCTGGCAGACACTTTTTGTCTTTGCCTTTTTCTCTCATAGACAGTGTGGTTTGCAATACTGTTATTGAAAGGGTATCATATATACCACTATATCTCCTTTCAGCATTCAGTCCTTGTCCAGAGTGACCATTGCCCTTTATCATTGTCATGATGGTCCCTTCCCTAGGCTGTACTCTCACCCCCTACATTGCCAAGGTTCTCGCTAGGACCAGTTCTCCTGCTCTTTGTTCCTGCTGTTTTTGAGAATTGTTTGTGGCCCTACTACGTGTCTTCTTATCTCGCATATTAGTGAGACCACTATCTTTGTCCCTTCACCTCAGACTCAACATTATATCTCCAAATGCAACCACGTATCAGAAAATCACATGACTTCATTTTTCCTGATGGATAAGTAGTATTCCACTGTGTAGCAGTACCCACTTTATCTACTCATATATTCCTGGGCATTTAGGTTGTTTCCAGATTTTGGCTATTGTGCATAGAGCTACAATGAACATAGGGCTGCAGATGTCTTTTCTGACTTGTGCTTTTGGAGCCATGGGGGAGGGGATATTGAAGGGATGATTTGCCTTTAAGTTGGGACACCATGGCATTCTCCATGGCTCCCTTCTCTACCTTTGACAACTCCCCACCTACCTGTGAGGAACACACCCCAGGTCCTGCTTCCTTCTTTAGCTATACGTTCTTTTAGATGAGCAAGAGTTGAGTGGCCATGGACTTCCACCACAGGAAGAAAATACAAATGTGGCAGGCTGACAAGCTGTGATAAGACCAGCTGGGTTGTCCAAAATGAGTCTTGTTATCTGTTGAGCTCCCTGCTGGCCAATAAACTCTGGGCATCAAACAATAATGCCATGGAGGGTCTCCTCTGAGGCTGAGAAGTTGGGAAGATCTCTCCCTGTGGACAGGGAAGGGATCACCACCTATTAGTGGCACAGATGCCTTCCTACATATGAGGAGTTGAGTAGAAGCAACACATTAAATGTTCGTTAGCTGTGAAATGAGGCACAGAGCTTTTAAGGCCACTCAGCACCCCCATCCTCTTGTCAAAGAATGGCCATACCAGTAGTTCTGAACTGGTGTGTGGGGACATTGTCAGGCTGAAATGCAGAGAAAGTGCCCCAAGATTTGGGATTCACAGGAGGACTGTTATTGGCTTTGCTGACTCCTCAGACTGGAGGAACATGCTTATTCCAACAGAGAGAAGGAAATTAAAGACCAAGACATGGATACGAACTTGGTTCTGGTCTGAGATGCCCAAGTGGTTCAACTTTATAAGGGTCCCACCCTAAAGGGCATGGACCTCCCCTAAGAAGTAGAACATGGAAGCATGTATGTTCTTGAGTCAGAACCTAGAATAGCCAGCAACTGCCTGCCTGACCACCCCTTAGCCCCCTAACCTCCCAGAGCTTCCACTCAGTGGCTGGAAAATGTTTTTTTCCAAAGATGAGCACTGATGTGGCTGTAATCTCTCCAGACATGCACCCTTCAGGCCCTATTTCTGTCTGAGATTGACCTTTGATCTCTCTCATGCCCACATTCTTGGGTCATGGGCTTGGTCTAAGGAGTTCTTGGTGATCTGAGGGAGTTGAGATAAAGGAGGAGGAAATATTCAGAGGTGAACTGCTTCTTTTCTGGAGGACCAAAATCCTTCTTGAACATTTCTAGGGAAATTTATCTTGTCTGTTCTTGTTTGGAAAGGGAAGACCAACTGAGCCCAGAAATGGATACAAGTCTCACAGTGGGTGATGGTAAATTTTCCAGACAGATTAATGATTTGTTGAAGAGAGGATGAGGGTTTGATGAGGAGTAATAACAGGTTCTCTCCTTCTTCTCTATCCATCCTCAGGATATGAAAGACAGGCATGGGCAAAGCCTGATCCATCTGGCCTTGGCCAGCAACAGCAGCACCGAATGATTTCACCTGCATGATTCTCACCATCTCTTCATGAGTGCTAAGTTGTGTTTTCAGAAAAAGGAAACCCAGTCCCATGAGGCAGGTAAGTCACTCAAGACCTCAGAACTTAGGAATTCAGGGAGGGATAGAAGCAACCCATCCAGCTGGACTCTGCGCCTCCTTTTACCCCTTGAGGTGGGGGGTTTGGATTCAGGCTTGAGGGGAGGGGCAGAGAAGGCCAGGGACAGCACGCCCAGTATGTCTTCCCTGGACCCAGGCCCAGCAGAAGGTTGTGGAAATTCATGTTGGCCTCAACCTAACCAGGCGTGAACGTACGTAGTCATTTGCTAGGAGACATTTTGAATGATGGACAAGTGAGGGGGCAGGTGGGGATGTGAAAGATGTCTCCAGAAATAACAATCAAGAACATGGACAGGAAGTATGTTTGTGGTGGTTCAGTGAGCCTGGGAGTTTTGTTATTTTTAAATTAAAATCATGTTTTAAATATACATATATTTTAGGAAGAGACCCCCAAGTGATGCTTAATAGGCCAAGGGACCCCACTTATATCACTCCTGGTGGTTCTCCGGGGACCATATGGGGTTCCAGGAATCTAACCCAGGTGGGCCGAGTGCAAGACAAAGCCCTATATGCTGTACTATCGCTTCGACTCCTGCTTAGAATTTTTGACCAACATGCTGGCAACTCCATCCTCCATGAGGTGGTGGTGTTGCTCAGGCCTTATAGTTTTGGGGGGTTCCAGGGGCACCTTGGTGGTGGTGAGGGTCTCCAGGACTTCCTTGGCAATGCTCAGGGAACCATGCGGTACTGGGAATCAAACTTGAGCCATGAGCTGGACTTGTGAAACTAGAGAATTAGGGTTGGTAGCCAGGCCTGGAGGGAAATTCACCAAGGCCCAGGAGGATTTAACCCAGGGTCGGTAGCCTGGGGAGGGGGGCCAAGTGGACACAGGCAAGGAGTGGTTCAGTGAATGTCAGGCCTGGCCTTTTGAGGGCAACACTCTCAAGCTGGGGGTCAAGAACTTACTGTGTTTTTGTAGAAGAAGTACAGAACCATGTTGGCAAGGCGGGTATAGCACCAGTGCCCGTGAACTATGAGGAGTCTCTCGAGGTACCGGAACCTTGGCAACGCGAAGTCACTGGCCATCACTGCCTTGGGAAGAAGAGGAGCTCCGCTTATTGGTGGTACCATTGAGCTGACCCATTGTCCCCCTGTATGGGGTGAAAAATGGCAGCCCTATTCCAGCACAAGAAGAAGAGAAATGAGTGGTTCAGGTCTGGCCTCTGGCAGCTTCCCACAGCATTGCCTTTGAATAAACCCAAGCTCAACAACACATGAGTTGGTGGGACTATCACTTCAGGGGACCCACTTCTTTTTCAAATTATGTTGGTAAGGGGTAGAGCACATATGTGACCATTAGGGTGGGCAGATAAAGTCCCACTGTCTTTCCAACCTCCTTGAACTGTGCCAATGATGAAATCATGGCCAACACCCCAGTTTATTTTTTAAAAAAGAGAATGGCATATGTGGTTTCCTAAAATCTCTAAGTTCAGCAAAGTCATGACTCAGTGTTCATCAAATGCTGGAAGTTGTAATGCCACCTCTAACATAAATACTTTCCTTTCCATTTAGTTTTGGGGCCACATCTGGCAATGCTCGGGGTCACTCCTGTAGGAGCATGGGGGACCTTGCGGTGCCAGGAACCTAATATGGGTCTTCCAGATATAAAGCCAACTTTCCAGTCCTCTGAGCCATCTCTCTGGTCAAGCAGTACATTTTTAAATTAGTGCTTCTGTGCAATGTCTGAATCCCAGGCTGTGAACATGAGAAATGCAGAGCTACATTTTCACATGCAACAAGATGACTGCCTCCCATGCTTAGTGTATTCCCCAGTGCTGCTGTTACGTCAGTTTTTCAGGGACAAAAAAAAAACAATATGAAAGTGTTGTCAGTTACAGCCATAAAGAAGGCAGTGAAAACCCTGGCCTCACTCTCACCCACCAGCTGCATGGAAACTCAGGAGCAGATGCAGGCAAGCACCCCTGTAGCACACACAGCCTCCCAGGTGCAGGTGAAGCCACCAAACCTTTGCCTTTGCAGGGAAGGCCCACAGGAAAGTGTGACAGAAGCAGTGAGGGCCACCTGGTCACCGAAACAGCCCTTTGGGTCTTTTACCTGCATGCCTTCCTGGCCTGAGATGCCCACACCCACATCTGCCATCTGGATCATGCTGACATCATTGGCACCATCTCCTACAACAGCACGGGAAGGAAGGATCATGTGAACAGAGATGTCCAGACTCAGTCTAGCTCCAGGAAGTGTCCTGGGACCCCCCCACCAGGGGGGTGGGATCTGAATGAGGGTAAAGAAAAATAATCATGATCTCCATTGTCCATCTCCTCTGTCCTTCTCATAGTCCTGCTTCTGTGGTGACCACTTGGTGGCTTTCAATGCTCAACTTTATTTTGTTTTTATTGTTATGTATTTTGGAATGCCCCCAGTGGTGCTCAGGGGCTATTCCTGGCTCTGGGCTCAGAGGTCACTCCTGATGATGCTTGACGACCCTAGGAAGTGCTGGAGATGGAATCTGTAAGGCCTTAACCACTGTGCTCTCTTCTGGCCTGCTGAAACTTTATTTTAGTTTTGCCTGCTGCTTTACGGAGTGGGGTGTAATTTCCATAAATGGAGGAATAGAGGCAAGAGCAAGTGAGTGTCTTGCCTTGAGAGCGTGTCCGGGAAGAGCAGGAAGTGAAGGCTGTGAGCAGCAGAAGGGGGTGGTGGGCAGCCCCAGGCCTGCTGGGGCTTGCATACTTGCCTATGGCCAAGGTCATGGCCTTGAGCCTGCTTCTGACCAGCTTCACCACCATGCTCTTCTGCAAGGGGGTTGAGCGGCAGCAGAGCACCGATCGGCACTGCTTGGCGAGGAAGAGGAATTTGTCCTCCAGTGTTTTCTCCAGGGCATAGGCCAGACTTCTGCCATCGATGACCAAGCAAGGCCCATGGCTGAAGGTGGGGCTGGGTGTGGCAGGCGGGCACATGGAGGAGAAGGCCACGCTTATATTGCTGGGGGTCTTCGTGGGGGCGATGCCGGGGCCCCTGGACTCCATGTAGCTTAAACACTGATTCAGCAGGGCCACGCAGGCCTCCTGAAACAAGAGGGGCCATCGAGGGTCACAGGCAGTTTGGGGCTTCTTCATTCACTTCCAATCCATGCCGAGCTCAGAGGCTTCGATCCGTCCTGACTGAGGCAGGCATGATGTGAGAGCCAGAAAGCCAGAAAGAAACGTCAGGGAGACCCGGAGAAAAGGCATACTGCCAAAAAACCATAGAGAGTTGCTGGGGAAAAGGTCTGGCGGGCTCTGCACAGGAAATCTGAGGTCCATTATCAGCACTGCAAGCTTCAGTCCTGAACCACTAAAGGTCTTAAGACACCCCCCCCCCCCAACCAACTAACAAACAACAGTACAGAAAAGAGAGTGAAACACTGTAGTTTAAGTACCCTGTAGAGGGAAGAAAAGAGAACGGTGGAACAAAAAAATGATTATTAAAAACTCAGGGATGTATGAATAGTACAGTGGGTAGGCCACTTACCTTCATGTAGCAGATCCAGGTTCCATCCCCAGCACTATATACGGTCCCCCGAGCCCTGCCAGGAGATTCCTGAATGCAGAGTCAGGACTGAACATTGCCAGATATGGCCCCCGAAACAAGAAAAACCAAGAAAAACAACAAACAACCCCACAAAAAACATAGCCACACACCCACATACAAAAGCAGACCTGAATCGAAAGCCATCACTAATTACATGAAATATAAACAATCTGGGTTTCTAATGAAAAGAGACTGTCAGGAGGTTACTCTTTTGCTGCATCTCTCCCATCTTTATAGGAAGGACAAATTTCTCAATTTTTTTCTGGAAAGTACTGCCACAGTGGATAAAATGTGGCCTTTACAAAATACACAAAATCCCAATTCATTTCTAATGCAGTGCTACAGATAGATGACAGGATTGGGTTGGGTTGGAGGGCTACTGGGCAGGACGCCTGGACTTTCTGTGTGGGGCCAGGAGGTTTAGGCTTTGCAGGGCCTATAGTTTCTCATTTCATATTGCCATTAGTCTATAGAAATAGCCAGAGATGTGGACAAAGCATACTGAGTTTAAATAAAACTTGATTTATAGAAATATCTAATGATTTAGAGGCAGCCTATGTGTTGGCTGACTGAGTTCTTTCATGCAAGAAATGAACCACAGCATTTACCAAGGGGAGTCAATGAACCCACAAGACAAGGCAATGAATGTGTGTCCTTCTCACATCCCTCTAAGCCATCACCAAGACTGACCTTACCCAGTCCATTCAAAACTTGTTTTCAACATGTTTAGAGGGATGGGAATCACTGAAGTAGCAAACCCATGATCACCATGGGATAAAACAAGAAATCACAAACAGAAAGATAAGTGGAGCATCACTGAACACTTGGAAATGAAACCAATTTCAAGACCTGACAAAGAGACAAATGAACCCAGATGGTGGGTCTGCATGAAGAAAGATGAACAAGGTCAGAAGAGAAGTTTTGAAAGAGATCCACACAAGCATGACCAACTGATTTTCTTCAAATGAGAACAGGTATGTATGGCCATAGACTCAACTGATTATATATATGGATTTGGGGCCAGATCTGGAGATGTTTGGGACTTACTCCTGGCTCTACACTCAGGAATTGCTTCTGGTGGTGCTCAGGGGACCATATGGGATGCCGGGGATCGAACCTGGGTCCAATGTCTGCAAGGCCAGTGCCCTCCCCACTGTTCTATCTCTTCAGCCTCTCAACTGAATTTCAGTAAAGGACTCTAGTGTTGATACTTTGAACAAATAGTGCTCAATTAATAAACAGGGCCTGCAGTCTGGGTTTGGTCAGCACCACATGGTCCTCTGAGCACTTCTGTGAGTAACCCCCAAGGAGAGACAGGAGTAGTCCCCCAGTACTGTTGTCTGTGACCCCCTCCCAAAACTAAGCTGGACATAACCTTACCCCATATATAATACTTGACACATAATGGATTGTGTCTAAAGGAGAGAGGTTAAACTCTCAACACCCCCGAGAGGAAACTAGCTTAGAAATTCAACATGTCTTAGGGTTAACACCGAAAGGCAAGTCAAGTAAGTAAAAGTTGAGCCATTGCTGCCTCAACACATGTGCTGTTTGGTGACCAGATCCTCTCCCAATGCCTGAGAAAGACCCAATCAGGACTGCCGGGTGACAGCCAGACCAGTCCCTGTCCTGGGTGCTCAGCACCTGTGCTCTGAAGGTGCATGTGACCTCATGAGAATGTCTCTGGTCTCACAGAGAACGTGAGGTGAGACAGTTAGTGCTAAAGGGAACCCCGCAAAGACATCCCTAGGGTCTTGCAACCAAGAAGAAGGACCCCAGCCTGAGAGTTAGCACAGTGGGAAAGGCACTTGCCTTGCATGTGGACAAGCCTGATTTGATCCCCACACAGCAGAGCATCCCTGAAGGCCCACCAGGAGTGATCCCTGAGTGTAGAGCCAGGAGTCAGGCCTGAGCTGTGCTGGCTGTGGCCCCAAATGAACAGATAAATAAACAGAGAAGTTCCCAAGCACAGCACAAGTCTGTCTGAGAGAGGGCTGCCCCAGGGTAGAAGTGGTCAGTAGGGTCAGTGCCCCAGGCAGAGCAGGTGCCAGGTGGCCACCTACCTGTGACTGGGCATTGAGCGTGAGGATTTCCTCATCTTGGTCAAGCAGCTTGCAGGCATATGCGATGTTAATGGCCGTTTCCTGCTTGTCCCCTGTCAGCACCCAGATTTGCAGGCCTGCCTGGCGCAACTTGGCGATGGTTTCCGGAACTCCATCCTGCAGGCGATCTTCAATTCCGGTGGCACCTGGGCACATGGGTGAGAGAGGGGAGGAGGCCCATCCACATATGCCCCAGAACCAGATGGGATACGATTTACTCCTCTTGCATCACCATAAACACATGTGCTAGAGCCAAGAGCCAGCTGGGCTAGCAGAATGGGACCTCCTGGGGGGAGCCAGGCTTGGGAAGAAATCAGTGTGCAACAGCACGCATACACATATGAGCACACATACATGCATATACACACACAGACACACAGCATACAGACACGTATGCACACACATACACACACGTACACACATATACACCACACACATACAGACATGCACATACAATACAGCCAAGCATGCACACACACATAACACTCACACACAATCACACATGCATGCACATATACACATGTAATGCACATGCACACACACATGCATGCACACATAAACACACATGCATGCACACACATATATACAAACACACACACATATACACACATACACATGCATACCATGTGAATGAATACTCACACACATACACACACGCATGCACACACTACATATGCATGTGTGCATACTCACACAAACATACACACCTATATTTGTACACAGACACATGCACACACACATACAAGTATACACATGAACACACATACAAATAAACTCACACATATAGACACAGAGAGACACACATGCACATTACAAACACACATGCACACTCACAGACACATATACACATGTACACACACACTTATACTCTCACACATATACACATGCAAACAGACACTCATGCACACATATGCACACAGATAAACACATATCCATTACATGCACTCAGACACATACACACATACACATACACATTACATACACATGCACACAGAGACACATACACTCATAATTTACACACACCCACATGCACACACATGGACACATATACCCTCCCACATGCACACACATGGACAGACAGACAGACACACACACACACACACACACACACACACACACACATGCTTTCACCAGCTCTCGACTCAGCAGTCTGGGATGGTGGGAGGAGCTGGACGGGATGTGCTTGCCCTCCAGATGTAGCAGCTGGGACTTAGTTCACTCCCTGCCCTCCCTATTTCCCCTGAGCACAGAGATAGGAACAAGCACTAGCAAGCACTGTGGGTGCAGCTCCAGCCTACCCCTTCACACACTCCCTGCCCCTGCAAGTACAAACAAATTATTTCTCAGGACCAGGGAGAGAGCACAGGAGGTAAGATGCTGGCATTGCATGCAGCCCACCCTGGTTTGACCCCCTGGTATCACATCCGGTCCCCCAAGCCCTGATAGAAGTCACTCCTGAGCACAGAGCCAGGAATAGCACTGAGCACTGGATGTGTTGGGTATGACTCCAAGGAGCAGAACAGGCCAGAGACTCAGGACCAGGGTGAAGGCCACCAGGTGTTGCACGTGGCCGGCCTCAGCTTGCCCCTGACCACACAAACCCTGAAACACTAACGTGAGCAGCCCTGGGGACCCCTGAGTACCACAGGGTGACCTGGGTCGTCTCCTCCTCAGGGCATAACTGCGTCCTGGCCCTGTGGTTGGCCAAGAATCCCTGCAGGAGATTCTCTGTTGCTTTGGGTCCTCACCCAGCTGTGCTCAGGGCTCACTCTGGTGGGCTCAGAGGATTGACCCTATGGGATGCTGGGGATTGACTGTGTGCAACGCAGATACCCTACCTGCAGTACTCTCACTCGGGCCCCTCCTGGACCTCCTGAATAATGCTTGGGACGGAGGTAAGAGAGGGGGAGAGGAGGAGGACAAAGCAGGAGAGGGGAGAAGAGCAGTGCAGAGGAGGGGAGGGGAGGGGAGGGGAGGAGAGGGGAGGGGAGGGGAAGGAAGTGCAGGGGAGGGAAATGCGGGGGAGGGGTGGGCAGTGCAGGGGAGAGATGGGAGTGCAGTGCAGAGGAGGGGAGGGGTGGGCAGTGCAGGGGAGGGGAAGGAAGCTGAGAGAGGGGATGGGGGGAGGGCTAATCCCACACATGCGCTAGTTACTCTTATCCCAATTCTTCAATTCTCCAAGACGGATGCAGGGAACAGACCCTAGCCCAGCTGTGAACGCAGCGTCCACTGGGACCGTACGGCAAAGTGCCATTCCGTTTCACCCACTGTGGTATGCTGACCGGTATGCAGACTGGGCTTGGAGGTGACCACCCTTTCTTCGGGATGCTTCCCAACATGGAGGGAAGCTGGGCTCCTCCCTCCTCGGTTTCTGGGGGCCAGCAGGCTGGTGGGGGAAGCAGGCGGTCTGGGGATAGAGGGGCTACCTGGCAGGGGCGCGACCTCACCCAGCAGGTGCAGGTGCGTCTCCAGGCGGCTGGCAGATTGGAACAGCAGCTCCTCCCGGTTCTCCATGGCCGCCTCGGCTTCCGTGTGCTGCTTTAGCCAGTGCGTGTACTCGGCTCTGCTCAGCACCTGTGGGGCAGGGATCCCAGGACCCAGCAGCAGCGCTGGGGGTGGGGGGGCCTGGGGAGAGGGGCCTGAAGGGTTCTGGGGAGTGGTCCTGGGGGTGGGGGTCCTGAGGATGGGGGCCTGGGGATGGGGGTCCTGGGGGTATGTCCTAAGGGCTGCAGTGTCCTGGGGACCGGGTGTTCTCTGGGGTTGGGTGCCCTGGGAGGTGTTGATGCCCGGGGATTGGGGATGCTCTAGGCTGGGGCAGTCCTGGGGTGTTCTGGGGGTGTTCTGGGCTGGGGGATTCCCTGGGGTTGTCTGGGGGTGCAGCCTCCCCAGCTCACCCTCTTGGCAATGCAGAGCGTGCGCAGCCCTTCCATGGCGTAGCGATCGAGGTGGGCCTGCGTCTTGCTGCGGATCTTCCTCTGGTGCCGGGCTCGGGCATCGTCTAGGGCAGGCGGGATCAGGAAGTGGATGAGGAAGAGCCACGGGCCCATACGGTGCAGGTGGGTGCAGGACAGCAGTCCTGCAGTCATCTGCTTCCTCCTCTCTGCACCCTGCCCACTTCTCTCTCTCCCCCTTCTTCCCTCCCTGCCACCCTCTGCCCTCCACCACTCCCCTCCTCTGTCCCCTCCTTTATTCTCATTTTTTTGCAGTGAAGCTGAGTGACAGACTTCCTCCTCCTCCTCCTCTTCCTCTTCTACCTTCTTCCTTCTCCTTTCCCTCCTCCTCCACCAACATCTCTTCCTCTTCCTCCTCTTTCCTCTTCCTCCTCCTTCCTCCTCCTCTTCCTTCTCCTCCACCAACATCACCTCCTCTTTCTCCTCCTCCTCTTTCTTCTTCCTCCTCCTTCTCCTTCCTTCTCCTCCTCCTCCTCCTCCACTATGATCACCTCCTCCTCTTCCTCCTCTTCTTCCTCCTCCTCTCCTCTCCTCCTCCTCCTCTTCTTCAACACCCAGCAGTGCTCAGAGCTTCCTCTGGGCTCTACACTCGGGGATCACTCCTGGGGGGGCCCAGGGGACCATATATGGTGCTGGGGGTCGAATCTGAATCAGTTACATGCAAGGAGAAGCTACAAGCCAGTAGGAAGCCCTCATTGGGGCTCTCGGCAAGTGGACTCAAGACTGTATTTTTAGTTGTGAAAACACATACATGAACACACACATACATGTGAAAACACATTCATGACATGAAGCACAGACAACTTCCTGTTATATAATAATAGAAACAGGTTCCTATCATAAAGTGGTATCTCCAGAATAACCTATGAGTGTCTGGGGCAGCTTTCAGGACATCAGGGGCAGTCAGAGAGTAAGGGATATTTGCCATTTTCATAAAAAAAATATTGGTTTGGGCTGGAGCAATAGCACAGCAAGTAGGGCATTTGCTTTGCACGCGGCCGACCCGGGTTCAATTCCCAGCCTCCCATATGGTCCCCTGAGCACCGCCAGGAGTAATTCCTGAGTGCAGAGCCAGGAGTAACCCCTGTGCATTGCCGGGTATGACCCAAAAAGAAAAAGAAAAAAAATTGCTTTACTCTAGGGACATGGCCGACCTGAGTTCGATTCCTCCGCCCCTCTCGGAGAGCTCGGCAAGCGAGACTATCTCGCCCGCATGGCAAAGCCTGGCAAGCTACCTGTGACATATTCCATATGCCAAACACAGTACCAACAAGTCTCATGATGGAGACGTTAGTGGGCCCGCTCGGGCAAATCGATGAACAACGGGAGGACCGTGACAGTGACTCTAGGGACTAAAGCCATAGCACAGGGTTCAGGCCAACCTGTATTTGGTTCCTGGGGCCCTATGTCCCTGAGCCTTGGCAGGAGTGATCTGGGAGCACTGAGCCAGGAGGAAGCCCTAAGCCCCATGGGGAGTGATCCAGGAGCACTGAGCCAAGAGGAAACCCTAAGTCCCAGCAAAAGTGATCTCAGAGCACAGAGCCAGGAGGAAGTACAGAGCCCTGGCAGGAGTGATCCTGGAGCACTGAGCCAGGAGAAAGCCCTGATCCCGGCCAGGAGTGGCCCCAACACCCTCAACCCCCGAGAAAGAAAATAAAAACAAAAATCACTTCACCCCAGAGACAGCGAAAGGCGCAGAATCTGCACCTGGCCCCGGGGCGTGGCTGGTACCTGCAGAGCAGGGCAGCAGCACGTCCATGACTGCCGAATCGGCGCCCTTGGTGTAGACGTTGATCTCGTGGGTGAGTGGGTGGCGGATCACCACCGACATCCTCTTGCGGATCGAGTCGAAGTCGAGCGTGTGCAGGAGCTCGAAGGTGAGGCGGCCCAGCTGGGGCAGCTCCACCGACAGCTGGTCCTGCCCGCGGCCCACCAGGGCGCACTGGTAGGCGCGCGCCGCGTGGACCAGCGCTGCCTCGTCGGGGCTCTCGGCCTCGTAGCGCAGTGGACGCTCGCCCGAGGCCTCGGAGTCCAGCGTGCGCTCGGCGGCGCTGCTGCTGCTGCTGTAGCCGTTGCTGGTGGTGGTGGTGACGGACGGCGTGACGGTGCCCAGCGCGTTTTCCAGGTCCAGCAGTGCGCCATCGCCGGACAGGGCCCGCAGCAGGGTGGGCCCCGACTTGGAGCTGGGCTTGTTGGTGCTCAGGCCACCGCTGCTACTGCCCGCCGTGAGGCGACTGGGCGAGAGGCGACGGAGGAAATCCTCGATGGTCTTCACCGGCGACTTCAGGTCCAACTTCACCCTCATCTGCGGCCGGGGGGTGGGGGTGGGGCGACCTGTTGACTCCCGGGTTTGCCACCAGGGTCCCCTCCACTTGATAGAGCCGGTGCCCAGCCCCACATTTGGGTGCGTGCGCTGAACCCCGACCCCAAGGCTGGCCTTTGAATCCCCCCCACACACACTACCCTGGCCTCCTGCTCTCACAGCCCAGGCGATTTTGGGTGCCCCAGCTCCAATACAGCACCCCGCAGAACCCCCTGGGTCCCATACTCCATGGCTCCTCACTTTGCAGGAAAGCTTCAGATTTCCCGACACAAACCCCAGTTTCAGTTTCTTTTCTGTATCTGGGGGGTCCTGGAGCATACTGGGGGTGCCCAGTGTCACCTCTTATAATACTCGGGCAACTGGGCTGGTGGCCAGGTGCTGAGGCTGGGTGAGGAGAACTGAGAACGGGTTGTCCAGGTGGTGTTTGGGGTCTGACAGGGCTACACCCAGAGGACTTGGGGAAGGGCTTGGGGGCGCAGTGCAGGGGATGGAACCAGATCTCTCTAAGCTTCTCCCAAACCCCTCTTTAACTGAAGTCGCTTAACAAGCGACTTTAACTTCTTTAACTGAAGTCACTTAACAAGCGACTAGGTTCTACCTTCCTTTGAACTGCATCCACCATTTTGTTTTGGTTGGGACCATACCAATTGGTGCTCAGGGCTTACTCCAGGCTCTGTGCTCAGGGATCACTCCAAGTGGGACTTAGGGAACCCTCTAGGGTGCCGGGAATGAAGCCTGGAGGTCACATGCAAACACCTTCCCCATTGTACTATCTCTCTGGCCTCTTCATCACATTTTAAATAATCGTAGAACTACCCCAACCCCCTGCATCTTTTCTAAACAAATGAAAGACAAATTCAGAACTCCAATCATTAATTTTTTACCCCCACACAACAGTGAATTATCTTTGAGCAAGACATCAGGATTCCAGTGACACTCAGAGACCACTGAAGTGAGATTTTCACTCCATGGGCAGGATGCACCTCGTTCAATTTCCCAGTGGACATTCAATTCAGAGCAAGCTGGAACATTCCAACCTGAGTGGGAGCTCTAGTCTCGTCTTTGTAACCTGGGCCCCAGACCCATGTTTGTAAATTATAGTAACAGACCCCTGAATAGTCAGGTGCTTGCAAGGCCAACCATGCTCTCCAATCCTATGACTTTGCTCTTAATTCTGTGTGCTCCAGGAATTAACGCAGGGCCTCACGCACAGGAAAGTGGGCACTAGGCCACTGATCCACATGCCTGGGTCCTTCCTGTCATGACTTGAAATAAGTGCATGATTCAGGCAGAACTCCAGCCATTCTCTGCCTCCCAGACTGGCACTCTGCAAGAAGGAGGGAGAAATACAGCCTATCTCCTTCCATGGCATTGTAGGGCCCTGGCATGGAAATACACCTCATGGAGGGGCCTCCTTGGCTTGGGTTATGGCCCCAAGACCTGGAGCACAGTAGCCCAAATGCAACCCTGAGCACAGAGCTGGGATCTTCATCGAGCCTATTAGGCTGGACTTGCCCACCAATGCCCTGCAGTGAGAAGGACGGTGAGTGATGAGGGAAGCGGCATCACTGTGGAGCCTCAACTCTGAACCTGGGTTGGCAGCACCAACATGCCATCTGTGTGACCTGCCCATGGGGATCCACTTGGACCCGGGGCCCTCCTCAGGTGCTAGAGCAGAGTTGAGTTTGTGGAATCCTGCTGGTCCCACAGAGAGGCCAGAATCTACTTGGTCACATTATATGGCCTTGCCCACCAATAGCGGTTCCATCTGTGGAAACTTCTAGAAGGGCTGAGTCAAGTAGCAGGGATGGGGCCAAGATGGACAGTGTGAGGGGTGAGATCTACGACTAATTTCCAGCCTGGATTTCCCAGTGAAATGTCCTTGGCTGTGTTCGGAAACCCTTCCACCCTCCCTAACCCAAACACAGTTCCCAGGGGGTGTCTGGGGTCTTAGAGGACCCTGAGCATCTTGACCCTGCTCTCACTTTGACACAAACCCAGGAAACCAGCTTGGGAATTGCAGAGTTGCCAACCATAGGGCCCCTCCAATGGATCTGAGGTGAGTCTGAAAGCACTTTAGACATCAGACGTGGTTGCCGTGTCCCACTCCCTCCTGAGTCCCCCAGATAGTGTTGGCCCTCTGGGGTGAGTCCAGAGCCCTCTGTCTGACTAGATCACTTAGGGACCTAGGGGAGTGTGGTTGCTCTGCGCCCCTCGAATCTCAAGTTAGGTGGGCATTGCTGTCCCCTCCCACTGGGCCCATCAGGCATCTGTGCAATGATGGCTTAGAGCTCAAGCACCTCTGGAGCCTTAGATCAGGCACCTGAAGGGATGGGCCAAAATTCGAACACAGGGGCCTGTGGGGGCGGTGGGGGGCTGTGGGGACTGTGGAGCTGTGGGAACTGTGGGACTGTGGGACTGTTGGGATGTGGGGACTGTGGGGGGCTGCGGGGACTGTGGGGTTGTGGAATGTGGGGGCTGCAGGACTGTGGGGACTGTGGGACTGTGGGGCCATGGGGACTGTGGGACTGTGGGGTTGTGGGGCTATGGGATTGGAGGGCTGTGGAATTGGGGGCTGTGGGGCTGTAGGGCTGTGGGACTGGGGGGCTTTTCGGGCTGTGGGGCTGTGGAACTGTGGGGCTGTGGGACTGGGAGGCTGTGGAATTGGGGGGCTGTGGGGCTGTGGGACTGGGGGGCTGTTGGGGTTGTGGGGCTGTGGGACTGTGGAGCTGTGGGGTTGTGGGGACTGTGGGACTGTAGGACTTGGGGCCGTGGGGACTGTGGGACTGTGGGGCTGTGGGACTGGGGGGGTTTGGAATTGGGGAGATGTGGGGCTGTGGGGCTGTGGGACTGGGGGGCTGTTGGGGTTGTGGGGCTGTGGGACTGTGGGACTGTGGGAACTGTGAGGCTGTGGGGCTATGGGACTGTGGTTCTGCCGGACTGTGGGACTGTGGAGCTGTGGAGCTGTGGGGTTTTGGGGACTGTGGTACTGTGGGCTTTGGGTTGTGGGGAGTGTGGGACTGTGGGGCTGTGGGGACTGTGGGACTGGGGGACTGGGGGGCTGTGGGACTGGGGGCTGTGGAATTTGGGAGTTGTGGGGCTGTGGGCCTATGGGACTGGGGGCTGTTGGAGTTGTGGGACTGTGGGACTGTGGGACTGGGGGGCTGTGGGGACTGTGGGGCTGTGGGGACTGCAGGGGACTGTGAGGACTTTGGGTATGACTACAGAGGTTTGTGGGGGTCTATAGGGTCTGTGGGAGACTGGGGACTGTGGAGGGGGATGCTGGGGACTGCAAGGGGCTGCAGAAAGACTGTAGGGAGCTGTGGGGGGCTGTGGGGAGTGCAGGGGGGCTGCTGGGGGCTGTGGGAGACTGCATAAGGTTGCAGCTAACTGCAGGGGGCTTTGTGGGGCTGTGGGGACTACAGGGGGCTATTGGGGGGTTGGGGGGCTGTGGTGATCACAGGGATTGTCGGGGGCTGGGGGGGGCTCCAAGCCATACGACCACTCGCCTCCTTCTGCTGGGGCTGCTCCGGGGCTGTGACCACCACGGTGTTGCAGATGGTGAGCGCGATGAAGAAATCCAGGACATCGGAGAGCTCGGGCGAGAGGAGCGCAAGTGGGTGCTCGTGGGAGCGAGCCCGGGCCAGGCAGCGGCCACACTCGCTCAGTTTCTCCAGCAGCTTCGGGTCCGGTGTGATGTCCTTCTCCTGGGAGGAGACGGGAGTCTCACCGCAGCCCGTGACCTTGCCGGGGGTCTCCGGGATGAGTAAAGGCAAGGCTTGGTTCTGTTAGAGGCTGCGAACAAACCTTTCTCTCACATGCACACTAGTCAAAATAGGACAATCGATTTTAGATATATTTGTTTACCATGTTGGCTTTGGGGGCAACATCCAGTGATGCTCAGGGCTGACTCCCATCTCTGCTCAGGGATCGCTCCTGGCAATGCTTGGGGAACTTAAGCAGTACCAGGGATCGAACCTGGGCAGCAGCATGTAAGGCAAGTGCCCTACCCACTGTGCTATTTCTCTGGCGCCCTAGACTGAGCAAGTGCACACATGTGTGCACATGTTTGTGTGTGTGTGTGTGTGTGTCTTTGTGTCTGTATGTCTGTGTGTGTTTGCATGCATGCTACACCCAGCCATGCTCAGGGCTGACTCCTGGCTTTGCATTCAGGGATCCTTCCGGGCAGGGTTTGGAGGACCATATGGGGTACCAGGAATTCAACCTGAATGGCTGCAGGCAAGCCAAACACTTAACCCACTGTCCTATCTCTCCAGCCCCAAAGGTATATTTTTGATTGTGAATATGTATACTTTAAATATACAATGAGGTGCAGACTTTTTATTTTGAAGGGCGTCTCACACCTGGCAGTGCTCAGGGCTCCTACCTCTGCACTAAGAATCACTCCTGGTGGTGCTTGGGGGACCTGACCAGATGGGATGCCTGGGCAGGGGAGGGGCATGTGCATGGCAAAAGCTTTCCCTGCTATCCTAATACTCTGGACCCACACACATTCTTTTATATAATAACAGAACCAGGTTCCTATCATAAGGTGATGTCTCCAAAAATATCTGTTACTGGCCAGGGGCAACTAACTCAGAACCAGGGACAGTCAGAGAACAAAAATCATGAGTGTAACTCTGCCTCATACCACCGCATCTCATTTTAAAAAATCACTTTTTAATTTATTTCCTACCAGTTCTAGATTAGGCACGTCACACCAACGAGCATTTTCCATTCTCCCCCAGACCTTCTATTTCCTGAAATATGTCACACTTTCTTGAAAAGAATTGTTTGTGTGCATTGTTTTCTAGGGAGCGGGGTGTTAGGGTCGCACTCAGGGCTTGGAATTAATCCAGGGGCAGATGCACTCAAGGAAAATGCCTTCTCTGGGGCTGGAGCAATAGCACAGGGGGGAGGGTGTTTCTCTCGCGTGCGGCCACCCCGGGTTTGATTCCCAGCATCCCATACGGTTCCCCAAGCACCGTCAGGAGTAATTCCTGAGTGCATGAGCCAGGAGTAACCCCTGAACATCGCTGGGTGTGACCCAAAAAGAAAAAAAAACAGACAACAACAAAAACACCTTCTCCACTCTACTACTGGTCCTGCTCCTGCCCTGAAGGATTATTTTTATTATTTAAAAAAATAATCAGGGCCGTACCCAGTGCTGCTCAGGGACTACTCCTTGCTTAGTGCTCTGGGTCATTCCTGACATTTTATAGCTCAGGGGACCATATGTGGTGTCAGGAATCCAACTAGAGTCTGCAGCATGCACACTAAGTGCCTTAAGCCCTGGACTCTCTCTCTGACTCCAATATTTTATCTGGCACCTTTGGTAAAACAGGTGAACAGGTGCCCTATGACTCCCTGAAGGCTCTCACAGGAGACCATCAGACAGAGATGTCATGCAAAGTCCATGCATCAGACTTTGGGCAGTGTTCAGACACAGAAATCGTGCAAAAGGCCGTCTGTGAAGTTTTGGGGAGTGGTCAGACACAGAAACCATGCAAAAGCTCATGTGTGACGTTTTGGGCAGTGGCCAGACACAAGAATTGTGCAAAGGCGATGCATTGGGCTTTGGGTAGTGACTAGGCGGTGTATGGAGCTGGACACTGGAACCTAGCAGCCCCCCACCCCTCCCACCCCTCGATCACAGCAGGTCTGCAGCAGGGAGCATGGGGGAGGGTGCAGGGCTGCAGGGCATCCTCCCTGCACTCACCATGGGGCTGCTGAAGGCAGTGTGCTGGCCCCGCATGCTGGCCCGCCTATTCTCGGCCCGGAAGCTGCCCACACGGCGGTGCGACTTGGTGCTGTGGCTTCGATGCAGCGCCCGTGGGCCGTCCGTGCTGCTGCGCTGGGGCAAGGAGCCACCCCGGGGCAAAGTGTCCTCCTCCTCTGAGTCCACTTCCTGGTACCTGGCCAGACGCTGGGCTGTGGGGACAGAGGCATGAGCAGGTGGGGGACAGGTCGTGGGAGGTCAGGCAGACAGGCTGATGGCTCACGCGAGGGCTCCTCCTCTTTTTCTTGGCCCTTTAGCCAAGCTGATGAGGAGGTGATGAAGGTGACCAGCCCGTCTCACAGACGAGAGGACTTAGTCGTGAATTCTGGGGACTGAGACACTCTTGGAGGCAGGGGCAGAGGGGGTGCAAGGGTCTGGTTGCCTTGCACAAACAAGCCAGGTGGGCAGAGACTGGCTTCCCACAGTGCCAGCCTGTCTGGGAAGGTGTAGACAGGCTCTGGGTAGGGTGTGTGTGTGTGAGTGAGAATCTGAATGTGTTAGTTATGTGAGTGTGAGAGTGTACTCAAAGGTGTGTGTGCATGTTTGAGGGTGTATCTGAGGATGCGTGTGTGTGTGTGTGTGTGTGTGTGAAGTCTGTATGTGTGTATCTGTGTGTCTATGTGTGGGTGTGTGACTTGGCCTGAGTCTGTGAATGTGTGTGTGTCTGCCTGTGTGAGTGGTCTCAGTGTGTTGAATGTGTGTGCGAGTGTGTCTACAGATCTGGGTGTATATATTTACTAAAGGGCAATGGTGCTCTATCTGCTCTATCTGTCCCGCCGCCACCCGTGTTTGGTAGTCTCGGGCCGCTTCCCCCACCCTGAGGAGGCCAATGGCAATGGGCAAGCGAAGGAAGGAATGAGGGCCAGGCTGGTTGGTCTCAATTGCAGTTTATTCCATTCCAGTCTCCATTCTCCTCTGATTCTCCTTCTGCTTCTTCCTCCCCCATGCTACTTCATCCTCTTTCTCGATCCCACTTCATTCTCCTTCTCAATCTGGATTCCCCAGTCCACTCTTACAGCCTAATTAAATCCCAAAGCATGAGGGGTTGGGGTAATAATTACAAGTAGGTATAGTCATACAATAAACAGAGGTAAAGTCTTTCCCTTAAGGAAAGCTTCTTCTAGGACAGATTCTCATTCAGTAAGACGACCCACCCAAGAGTGAAATCCCATGGGTGTGTTTCTCCTCTTCTTGTCCAACAAACATATAAGCATTTATAATATTAATCATTTTGTATGGACACAGTAAGAGATATATTAAGCTTATAGAATTGCTCTCCTGGGGTCATCTTGATCTCAGACTAGACTGCTCAAGTCAGATTAGTCTTTCCTAACCCTAGCAGGGTCCTAATCTCATCGTTACTTTTGGATCATGACAGCATTTGTCCATGACCATGCTCTCAACTTATAGTTGAGTATCATGGCACTTTGGCGTGGCCCATTTAGATGCCAGGGTAGCTCACAGCTTGCCCTGGGTTCACTCAGCCTCTTGTTGGGACCCTGATTTTGGGGTGCTAGGAACCAAGGGCAACTGAGGCTTAAATCAAGAGTGCAGATGCCTGGGAGGGAATATTATTCAAAGTAAAATTAAATCCCAAGTTACAAAAGCATAATATTAACTGTCTTCTTGTGTCTACACACAAAAGGACATTGCTACGAAATAAACTATCCAAAAGACATTGGAACAGGAAGATAGGCAATATTTCACTCATACATATAAAATCATAGATTTCTGAGGAATCTGATCTTACAAGTTAACAGAGTTTTATTAGGGGAAAAAGCTGGTAGGCTGGTTGGAGAAGAGAGCATAGAGAGGAGTTTACAGATAAATACAGGGGAATGGAAATGCCTCAGGAGCACTGTGATAACCTGAGTTCCCTGCGGCAAGGGAGAAAGGACAACCAATGTCATCCTACCTGGGTGTATATGTGTGAGTGTGTATGAGTGTGAATGGGTGTGTCTGTGGGTAACTGTGTGTGCAAGTATGTGATTGTCTCTGAGAGTCTGTGCGAGTACAGGACTGTGTGTCTGAGTGTGTGTGTGTGTGTGTGTGTGTGTGTGCGTGTGAGTCTGTTGGTTATGTGTGAGTGTTGAGTGTGCATGCAAATATGTGTGTGCCATGCACCGTGATGTTTTGTGCTTGGGCCACATGGGAAATGCTTAGGTTTCTTCTGGGCTCCTTATTCATATAGAATAGATCCCAGATGGACCCCTCCCAGGCAGCACTGTCCCTGCAACCTTACGCCTGGGGCACCAGTGCACCCTGTCTGGGCCAGAGAAGCTGGTTCCCACACTCACCTGTAGGATAGCATTTGTTTGTGCTTTCTCTTCTGCCACAAAGTGCTTAGGTTTACCGAGTAATTCCCATCACAATGCTCCCGAAGCACTCCCATTCCTCTGTGTTAATCTTTAACTTCTCTGTGCTCTGCTTTCTCTACCTGTTAATCACTCATTTCCCCTAAGTAGTACCTGTGACCTGTAAAGTCAAATTCCTCAGAAGTCTCTGATTTTGTATTTGTAAGTTAAATGATGGTTGTTCTCCTTCTCTTATGTCCTTTAGCATAGTTTACTTCAGAGCAATGTCATTTTTGTATAGACACAAGAAGACAGTTAATGCTATGCTTCTGTAACTTGGGATTTTATGGACTCCAAATAATATTCACTTCTGGGCATCTGTTTTCTCTACTTAAGCTTCCGGTGCCCTTAGTTCCTAGCATCCCAAAAGCAGGGTCCCAACAAGGGACTGAATGAACCCAGGGCAAGCTGTGAGCTACCCTGGCATCAAACTGGGTCAGGCCAAGCACCATAATACTTAACTATAAGTTAAGAGCACGTCATGGACAAATTCTGTCATGATCCAAAGAGTAACAACTAGATTAGGACCCTGCTAGTGTTAGGAAAGACTAATCTGGCCTGAGCACTGTAGTCTGGGATCTATAGTGAGATGTCCCAGGAGAGCCACCCTACAAGTGTAATGTATCTCTTACTGTGTCCATACAAAATGACTAATATTAGGAAGGGCCTTTACATATGTTGATTGTGCTACCTCACCTGGGTGTAGCTGCTACCCCCAATGCTTGGAGGTTGGGTATGAGATTAAGGCTGCAAGACGGAGAGTAGAGAGACTAGCATGGGGGATAGAAGGAGATGGGAATGAGGGGTAGTGTGAGACTGGAATGGGGCGCTTAGTGAGACTGGCATGGGGAGAATGGAATAAATGGCAACTGATCACCAACCAATCTGGCGGCCCAATTCCCTCCTTCATGCGTCTGTTGGTGGTGGTTGCAGGCCAATGTGGGGAAACAGCTCATGGCCACCAAATGCACATGGCAAGTGAGAGAGAGAGAGAGACTGCCACTGCCACTGCCACCATGCTCACGTATTTATTTTGTGATTACACACTCACCGTTTGCATCATGAGAATATTCTATGCCAGATACCGTGCAGCGTCGGAAAACCATCTTGTTTTCAGTGAGCGTGCCGGTTTTGTCTGAGAAGATGTACTGGATCTGGCCCAGGTCCTCTGTGATGTTCAGGGCCCGGCACTGCAGCTGTGAGCCCGTTTCCTCATCATACAGCTCGGCATCCTGGTTAATGAAGTACACTTGGCACACCTTGACGATCTCAATGGAAACATACAAGGAAATGGGGATCAACACCTGCAAGACACGAGGCACAGAGTGTGAGCGGCCACGCAGATGGGGAATGGGACGCCGTGCGAGCTATTCCAACAAAGGGCCATGGCACAAGCAAGCAGGGGCTGTACTGTACCTTGGCGAGCTTCAAGAGCGTGGCTTAGAGTCAGTATTGGAAAAGGATTAGGACATTGGCAAAGAGTTTAAACTAGGGCAGCCCCGGGGCCGGCGCAGAGCAGAAGTCTCCACTAGTGCTGTCTGGAAGTGTGGTGACCTGGGCTTGAGAGAAGCAAGCGCTTCCGGGTTACTAAGTTGGGCTTGAGAAAAGCTGGGAAAGGAAACAGAGAGAGTGAGAAACATTCAGAGTCCTGGGCACCTCGCACCCTGGGGCAGAGTGAGAAACACAGCACACTCAGAGTCCTGGACATCTCGTGCCCCAGGGCACTCCAAGAGGCAGAACCTGTCCATGGACGGCCTGATCCCCCCTCCCCCCCAACTCCCGCTGCCACCCCTCTCCCCTGCAGCTGGGAAGAGAACCTTCCAGGGGCTGGTTTCTCATTGAAGGCAGCTTTGAGATTGTGCAGAGCCAAGCAGAGAAGATGCAGAGAACAGCCAGAGTACTAACATCTCCCCATTTTCCACCCCTTCCTTTCTTGTATGGAGAAACAGAGTAAATTGCCAGGTATAAATGCCTTCTCCAGGTCCTCAGTGCCATTGACTAATGCCACACCATGAAGGACCCACCCACCTATGGTGGGACCCATGCAATGTGTGAATGCCCTTTGTCTCCAGGAATAAGGATTAGCCAAGTCAGTCCAGCAGACACACGCTGTAGGATCCCACTTGCCTGTGGATCTTAGCAAAACAAATTCATAGATAGGAAGAACAGACTGAGGCATGGCAGACAGGTACAGGGCTGAGAGCAGAGCAAAAGATGGGGGAAGGGTTTGAAAGAGACATACCCTCAATGCTAGGGAAGAAACTCACTGGAGATGGTCCATACAGCTTAGCAGTGACACTAAGATTCCATTGTGCGTTTGGTTCTTTTGTTTTGGGGGGTCACACCTGGCATTGCTCAGGGCTTACAACTGGCCTTGTGCTCAGGGATCACTCATGGCAGGGCTCGGGGGACCCTATGGGGTGCTAGGAATAGAACCCAGGTGGGTGTCATACTAGACAAGTCTCTTACTTCCGGTACCATCTCTCCAGCTCTCAGATGCATTTGAAAGGGGTGAGGGGAGTCAACTGGACATTTTCTGGCCACCAGGGGAGGGGAGGAACTCTGCCACTCTGCATCCATTTTGCAAAGAAAATATCTATTAGATCATTGCTTGCCCTGTCATGAATATAACATGCCAAACAGGTGGTGAAAAATTGGGCTAAAAAGTTCCGGAAATAAGAGAAACTGTGGAATCCCTTACAATCCCCAGAAAAGTTCCCAGTGTTATCTCTCAAGTCCTCAATGATGCAATAGGGAAACATGTGAGGGTGTGGAGTCAGTTTACCAGAAAGCAGGTGCTGGAGGTATATGGGGCGATGCAACTGCACGGCAGCAAGAATGGGACCCTGCTTGCTGCAAAGGCTTGGCACTGCCCAGAATGGCGCCAGAGTGGGCAGCTGCGGCACTCAGCAGTGCTTCTTGCAGCACAGGGGCTCCGAGAAAGCTCCCTCCTCAGCTCCTGGCCCTTCCCACATTCACAGGCCCTCCAGGCTCTGGGCTAGTGAGTGGCAGCCAGCGAAGAGGAATATGAGTCTGCTGCTACATGGGGAGGAAGGCGTGCACTGCTGCCATCATCCCCCATTGCTGCACTCCACTGCCAGCACTGCTGGTACCCCTAGTCCATCATCACACTTCCACTGCCATTTCTGCTAGTAGAACCACAACACTTTCACTGCCATTGCTACTAGTGTCACTACTATATTTCCACTACCACTACCACTACCAGCACTGCTACCACCACTCCTGTTACTACTAGTACCATCATACACTTCCACTACCATAACTACTGTGCCACACTACCACCAGGACTGTGCCTATACTTGCCACGATCACTACTGCCACCACCATTGCTGTTACCTCATCACCACTCTATGACACTGCTGTCACCACCAATTTTCCCTCCTCCACTGCTGCTACCACTACTGCCACCACCGAAGAAACGTTCTCCTGTGAGATGTGATTTGCTGAATGGAATCTTGGACAGAAAACAGAAAGTAACACTGAGCACTTTCCAAATGAACACTTACAGCTCCTGACAAGGTGCTGAGGTTGGTTCCCTATTCTGACATGAGCCTGGAGGACAGGGTTGTGTTGATGTTTGAGGAACCTCCCTGAGGGGCCACACCATTGTCCGTTTTTCTGTGACTAATTTGTCTGTGAATTCAAAGTTATTCCAAAATAAAGCTTAATAGATTTGGAGGCTCTCTAGGGGCTATCCTCAGCAGTGCTCAGGGGTTACTTTTGGCTGTGCTCAGGGATCACTCCTGGTGGGACTTGGGGGACCAAAATGGTGCTTAGGATTGAATCTGGGTTGGAAGCATACAAGTTCTCACTTACTGCCCCCCCCCAATTTTAAGGAGCAGTTGGCAGTTGGCTGAGAAAAATAAGCCAGACCTAACAATAATCAAATCCCACCCTGCATGTCTGCAAATATCTTACAGCTGAGCCCAGGAGATAGTGTGAGGCTGAGGATGCATGCCAGGGTTCCATTCCTGGCACCATGAAGTCTCCTGAGCATTTCTGGGAGTATCCCTGCAGGGTCCTGGAAGCCCCGAGGTGTGGCTCTGGATGCCCCAAACACTAGTGGGTGGTCTGGGTCATCCCTAGCACTGCAGAGCTGAGCAGTACCACATACCCAGGGCCCTGTATAGAATCACTAGCTTGGTGGATGAAGACTTACTAGTGGGTATCCCAGAACTCCAGGGGGCCACTTGGGAGGTCCATCTCTGCCCCTACAAAATTCTGAAAAGCAGTCAAGAGGAATTTTAACTGGACTATCATCTAAGAATCATCCTGTAGCCAACTTGAATGGGAATAGGAAATTCAAGGCCACTTTGTCGAGTGCAGGTGCAGAGCACAGAGGCTGGAGGAGGAAGAGGAGGAGGAGGAGGAAGAGGAGGAGGAAGAGGAGGAGGAGGAGGGTCTCTTCAGAATGGGAACAGATGCTCAGTCTGAACACGGTACCTGGAGAACAATGACCATCGTCAAGAAGGAGTACACTGCAGCTGTGGCTGGGGACAAGTCACTGCCGTCTGGCTTGGGCACATCAAACAATGACTGCTTTTCTTGATAGCGCTGGACCCACAGTCCATGTCCTGCAGCGATGTTCCAAGGGAGAAATGATTCATGCAAGAGAAAAGAAAGAACCTGGCTCATGCGCATGTACACGGGGTTCGACAGCCCGGAGGAGCCACATTCTGGGTTATGAGGCCGCTTGTTCCCTGTGGAGTGTGCAGTGCTGGCCAAGCCCTGAAGCAGTGGAACTAAACTCTCACCCATGCCTGCTGTGCCCCACCCAACAGTACCAGTCAGGATCTGGGGCTGCACCTGCACTTGCCACAGGGTCCCCCAGAAAGAGAAGCTGCGATTGAAAAACTTTTTTCCTATTGGAGCCAGGAAGGTAGCATATGTGAGCCTCGCATGCACAAGGCCCCAAGTTTGATCCCTGTCACCCAGGATCTTCCGAGCACCAAGTCCTGCTCCTCTAGTACCGCTGGACCAGAGCAGCCCCCAACATCAGGTCTGAACATTCAAGGGCAGTGCGGGACAACACTTGGATCCCTGAAGCACCTCTGAGGGAGCACCTTCTCCCATTTTATTAAAGTAACATTGCATGCGGGCTGCAGGGGTCACTCAGAATCAGCCCACTTCTGTAAGACAACACTAAATTCACCCTCCCTGCTGATTGGGACTGACTTGCAGGGAGAAATTTCTTATATGGAGAGGGTTGGGTTTTATTTGGGGGCTATCCTGTGCAGTGCAGGGGGTTCAACAGTGCCAGGGATGGAACCTGATCCTGCCACATGACAAGCCTGCAAGCTAGCTCCTTCTGCTCTATCTCGGCTCTGGCGGCTGCCTTTACATGTCCCATCTTGGAGAGGCTGAAGTAGACTGGGCTAGTTGGCTACCCAGGAGCCCTTAGCAGCCAGCCTCACTCCCTTTTAGATCAGTGGAGACGGTGTGGTCCCCGCTCAGCAGGGAATGATGTGGAAGCATTTTTCAGGGGGCACAGCTCTAATGCCCCTGCACCATGCTCTTTCAGACACCAGCAGGGGCCAATCACAGCCCGGCAGCTTGCCCCTCCCCAGGACTTAAATAATGCATCTTCACCTTTCCTGGGCTTCCCAAGTGGCACGTTCTGGTGTCTAGCTCATGGCCAAGTTCCTAATGCTCACTGTGGAGGCTGGCCCCAGGTTTGTGGCTGCACCTATAATCCTAGGTTGTAACCCACGGCTATTCCCCAATCCCATCCCCGGAGACTCTTATGTAGGGCCTCTCAGCCCGGCCCAAGGGCGGGTGGGGCCAGAAGGGCCCTGGGGTCACAGGTGGGGGTACCATACAAACTCACCAATGGCAGAGATGAGAGCCATGAAGACAAGGAGCAGAACACACCAGAGCACGTCACAGTTCATCTGCCGCTCCAGCTGGCTGCGCTTGTAGCGGGGCCCGCTGTTGTTCAGCAGCGCCTTGGTCTCGTGTCCTGGGTGAAGAGAGGGGGTGGGAGTCAGTACAGGAAGCACACAAAGCCACGGGAGCTGGTGCAGGAAGCACAATAGAGTCATGGGAGAAGCTCAATCCAGCGCAGAAAATGCCCTAGGTGTTTTTTATGTTTGTTTTGGGGTCACACTCAGCTGTGATCAAGGTTTACTCCTGGCTCTGTGCTCAGGGATCACACTTCTGGAGGGCCTAGGGGACCACGTGGGGATAGAACCTGGATTGTCCATGTGCAAGGCAAGTATCCGATCTGCTTGACTAGCTTTCTGGCCCTGGTGGATTTAGTGATTTTATGGGAATAGGAGCAGCATCCAGTGGGGAACATGACGGCTGAGTGTTTGGGCACAGTGATGTGACACTGAGCAGGCTCCACCACTCCTTCCAGAGTGGTCCTTGCCCCCCTCCCACCACCCACCCTACTCGTGTAGACCAGCCCCGGCCGCACAGCCTGTCGATGTGGACCTCACCCACAACCTACCTGCATAGACCAAGCCCCTGAGCCTACTATGTAAACCAAGTTCTTTAGCCTACCTGTGTAGACCACGCCCCCGCCTACCTGCATAGACCACGACGCCCACCACGGCCTCTGTGTTGCGGATGGTGCAGCCACGAAGCAGCAGGTTTTCCTTATGCAGCGCTGCCTTCTTCCCATTGTCATGGACGCTGTGGAGCGTGGCAGGGGACAGTTGGCAGGGGCACAGGTTCCAGGTCAGGCACAACTGGAACCCAGAACCTGCCCCCTTGGAGTAGGGGAGGGCCGGCACTTTGTCAGAAACGTCTCTGCTGGGGTCGCTGGAGCTCAGAGCTCCTGAACTCCTGCAAGCACCCAGTGCTCAGTACCTGTGTCTGTGCATACACATGGCCCTCCTGGTACACCACCCGGCCTGTGCATATGCCCTTCGCTCACTTCCTCCCTGTGCCACGCCTGCCCGCCCACCTGCTCACATGCCAGGGATCCGCCCTGACTTTAAACAGTGGCGCTCTCTGGGGTCTCAAACTCCTGCCCCTGGAATTCCTGTGTCAAGCACCCCCACTTTAAAAGGTTGAGGGTTGCTAAATCCACTCAACCTTGCACCTATGACAAGGTCCGATGGGGATTCTCCCCAGTATACAGAGGAGTGAAGTAAATAGTGCGTAGGCACAGCTGGTAGACCAATTACGTACAGTTTGTTTGGGGACACACCCAGCATTGATCAGAGCTTACTCCTGGTTCTGCACGCTGAGATCTCTCCTGACGGTGCTCAGGGGACACTTTGGGGTGCTTGGGACCAAAACTGGGTCAGCGGTGAGCAGGTGCCTTCCCTGCTGTGCTATCTCTCCAGCCCCCTAGTCTGGTTTCTTAAATTGGGGGTCAAGACTCCTTAGAGTGACATCACTGAATATAGAGGCTGTGAAAAAAATCTTTAAAAAATTTTCCAAATTAATTAATCATGCCTCGGGGTCAGAAGAGTAAGCTGCGTGCCCGTGAGAAATGTTGCCAGACTGAGGAACAGCTTGCACTGCTGCCTTGTGCGTAGCCAGCCCGGCCGAGCCGGATTCGATTCCTCCGCCCCTCTCAGAGAGCCCAGCAAGCTACCAAGAGTATCTCGCCCGCACGGCAAAGCCTGGCAAGCTACCCGTGGCGTGTTCAATATGCCAAACACAGTAACAAAATCTCACAATGGAGACGTTATTGGGCCCGCTCGAGCAAATCGATGAACAATGGGAGGACAGTGCTACAGTGCTAATTATTGAGGAGGAGAGATAGGTGTTAAGGTGATTGCCTTATATGCAGTCAAACCCAATTTGATTCCCAGCACTGTATATATTCTCCCAAACACTTACAGGAGTGATTCTTGAGTACAGATTGATGGACAAAAGTGCATATATGGATGAATGGATAGAAAGATGGATGGGTATAGATGGTTAAGTGAAAGTCGGGTGGATGAATAGACAGAAAGTTGGTGAAAGTTTTTTTTCTTTTTTCTTTTTAGTTTTGGGGTCACATCTAGCAGTACTCAGGTCTTCCTTCTGGATCTGTGCTCAGGGGTCACTCCTACATCTTGGGGGGCTATAAGTGGTACAGAGGATTGAACCCAGTTCAGTCACATGCAAAGCAAGTGCCCTCCTTGCTGTACTCATGTTCTCTATTCTGGCCCTAGAGAATTGGTGATTGGAAGGAAAGATGGATGGGTGGACTGAAGAATGGATGGATAGATGGACAGATAAAGATGGATGGAAAGAATAGTAGACAGTTAAAAGTCGGATAAATAGAAGAAACAGGATGGATGGACAGATAAAAGGATGAGCAGAGAGAACGCCGATGGAGAGAGAGAAATGAAGAGAGAGAAAGAGAGAAAGAGAGAAAGACGAGGCCAAGCAGATGCTTAATACTCACATGCATCCACGAAACCGCGTCAGGTTATTGTTTGGCCTCTCACACTCAATGACACTGGTGAACGTCAGAGGATTGAATTCAGAGACCTGGAAAGAGCAGCAGGTATATTTCAGAGAAAGCTGCACGCAAGATGCTCTGTGCTTCAAGACGCTCACTCTTCTGCCCACATCCCTGGCAGGGAAATCTGATGCAAGCCCTCTGCTCAGTGATCTCTGCAGAATGCCGGCCCAGCATGGCTTGGCTTCTGCATCATCACACCCAGGGTAAATGTGGATGAGTGATCACAGAAGATATAGCAACTGGTAGCACAGTCCTGTTGAGTTAGCTGGTGGCTAAAAGAAAGTAAGAGATTAAAAAAAAAAAAAGGAAGCCACAAATGATGGGAAGGAACAAAGCCGTTTCTTGAGGCAAAACAGAATCTTACACATTTGCTACAGATTTAGAGAAGCAAATTCCCTCTGGAAAATAGGAACTTAGGGAATCTCACTTGCTTAATAGGCTCTACAAGTTCTTCCCAGGCATCCACAAAAAAGTATTAAAACAATCTATGTGAGCCAACAATTTATTACTCTGCTCCTTGGGCTGGAGTGATAGCATAGCAGGTAGGGTGTTTGCCTTGTATGCGGCCAACCCGTGTTCAATTCCTCTGTCCCTCTTGGAGAACCCGGCAAGCTATCGAGAGTATTCTGCCCGCATGGCTGAGTCTGGCAAGATCCCCATGGCATATTCAGTATGCCAAAAACAGTAACAACAAGTCTCACAATGGAAATGTTACTGGTGCCTGCTTGAGCAAATCGGTGAACAACGGGAGGACAGTGCGACAGTGCTACTCTGCTTCTTGAGTAACTGAGCTCATTACAAAGTCAGGTCCATTTTGAAGTCTTTGAGAGAGTGACCTCACAGAGCCTAGAGTAGGGAGAAACAGGAGGGAGAGGATGGGAATGAGTCTTTAGTGTAACTGAGAACCACGAAAGGACCTTTGACAAATGAGCTCTTGTCTTCAGCCTGGTCATTCCCTTTCCTCTATCCAAACATTGCACAATGGTCAAAACTGGAACCGTGTGAACCCAGTGAGCAGGTCATTCCTAAAAATGCACCAACGGTTGAAAATCTCCCAAAATGGTGCCGCCCACTGTGACAACATACTTCCTGACCCAGAATCTAGCAGTCAAGGCAACAATTCAAATTTGAGGTTTGCTGCTTTCCTGTGTGTTGTACACATGAAAAGGAGAACTCACTAGATTATAGTAGGCTCAGTTCAACAACTGAAATGAAAATGCTATTTTAATGGGGACGTTGGTGGTGAGAAATGTACACTGGTGAAGGGAGGGGTAATGGATCATTCTATGACTGAAACCCAATCATGAACAGCTTTGAAACTATGTATCTCAGGATGATTCAATAAAAAATAAATTAACACAAAATTTTAAATGCAATTTCAGAGACAGGAGCAATGGCCACGTGAGAGCACATGCTGTGCGTGCAGAAAGTCCTGGGTTCAATTTGCACTCCCAATGTTCCCCTGAGGAGACCACTAGGAGGAATCCCTGAGTGCCAACAGGTGGTTTTTAAAAAATGCATTTTTTCCTTCATTTTTTGGATTGTGCTCAGGGCTTTCTCCTGGCTCTGTGCTCAGTGATCAATACTGGAAGTACTATGGGGACCAGGTGTGGTGCTAGGGGTAGAACCCAGGTTGGCTGCATATAAGGCAAATGCCTTATCCACTGTACTATCACTGCAGCCCTCCCTACTCACTAAAAAATTAAAATAACGATCCCATTTTAAGTGGCTCGTTTGGAATGAGAATATGTGGGTCAGTAGTAGAGAATTTGTTCTGGGGCATTCCCAGCACTTCACCACGGGGAACCTGAGCATGGCTGTGCATGTCTCCCAAACTAAACCAAACCAAACCACCACACAATTAAAACAGCTCATGGGGCCAGAAAGATAGTACAGTGGGTAAGGCACTTGCCTTGCATGCGGCCAACCAGGGTTCAATATCTGGCATCCCGTAGGTCCCCTGAACATATCTAGGAGTGATCCTCAAGTGCAGAGCCAGGAGTAAGCTGCTGGGTGTGGCCCAAACCACCCCCACAAAAAACCCATAAGCTCCTCTTTAAGTTTGGTGTCACGAACCTTATCTGTCCTTGAACTAATTGGGCCTGTTTCTGAGCATCTATTGGAAGGGCCTGGGGATCCTCTGGAAGCTTCCCAGCACAGAAACTGACAGTGAGGGCTGTGTGGGAGGGTCACGGAAGGTCTGAGTCTCAGAACAACACAGCATTATTCTTGGCTGACCAGGCTGGAGACTTAAAATACTTGGTCTCTGTTTATTATTCTTTCTCTTTAAGAAAAAAAAATGTACTGTGCACAGCTCAGAAATGGAAGCACATTCTGTCTCCAGGACTTGGGAGATGTATCCAGAACATTCTATGCTGTCTCGCACCCAGGGCGTGCCCAGGGTTCAGCATGTCTTCTGGACCTGGGAAGGAGCTGGAGGAGTTTCTTCCTTTTTAACTGGAGGGATACTTAGGGTCTATCATGGGCTGGACTGGACACCCGTCTCCCGTCTCCTTCCTAACCCTAAAATTCATGGTCTAAACCGTAAGGCACAGGACTTCAGAATGTGACTATATTTAGACACAGGATTTCTAAGGAGATTTGGGACATTCCAATAAGTTTCCCGGGAGAAGCTACAATACAACTGTTAATGCTGTCCCCATCAACAGAGGAAATGTGGACACAGGTGCGTGCGTGCACACGCATGCGCGCGCGCGCACACACACACACACACACACACACAATGGTCCCTCTGGATCAGTGACAGAACAAGGATGACGCAGTGTCTACCAGGAAGGGAATCCAGCCTCAAAGGAAACCAGGCCTGCTGGCACCTGGATTTCGGCCTTGAGACAAACAATGTCCATTGAAGGCCCTTCCAAGGTAGTCTCATCACATGGGAGCCTGCCTTGGCAGTTTTCTACATTGGTGCCAGATTCTTGATGATCAGGTTCCTATTTTCTGGACGTTCTGCCTTTCTCCTCATTTCCTCTCAATCTTGCACATACCTCCATACTTGTGCCTGCTCACACACGTTTTCCACTTATATCCACTTGCACTCATGTTCATCCTCACAATCATTGATAAACACACACACACACACACACATTCTACATGCACTCTCGCATTACAGGAATGCACACACTCACATCCAGCATCGACAAGTTTCTGGTAGTCAAGGAGATACATGTCCCACAGCTCAGCTTTTCCTACAGGTCAAGAAATTCCTGCTCCAGGGTCAGAGAGGTTTGACGGGCTAAATACGTGCATTGCATGCGAAAGTCCTCAGGTTCCGTCCTCAGCATGGCATGGTCACTAGAGCCGGGAAACACCCCTAAGCACTGCGAGGTGCCGCCCCAAAATCCAAGAGAAAAGGAAATTCCTGCTCCTGCAAAACACAGGCAAACACACCCACAGCCTCAAACCCTTTGCAATTCCTTATGCAATACAACCACATTTGGGAAGCATGGCATTTGACTCAATGTCTCCCGACCCCCTTTCTTTAGTTTTTATAGAAAAGTGCAAAAGAGCAAGTCACATGGCTTTTACCATGATAATAGAACTAAAATCTCTTCCATTTTGGTTGCCTGTTTTTCCTGGAATAAAACATGGCAACTCCCAACATCACAAAGATGATGAACTGAACTGCAAATAAAGAACTTTCATGTTTCCTTACAGGTAAGAAGATCTTTGTGGAGAAAGATGTCAAAGTCACTAATTACAACCAGTTTCACACCTACTAGCTGTTCTCACCAGCACTTCAGGGCCTACCTCCACAGGCACGGGTTTGAGAGACTGGTCATAAAATAAAAGCCAGTCACCAGGATTCAAATAGAAGATCTACAGCCAAATTTATATTCCACAGAAAGCAAAGATAATCCCTACAGTAAAATGTCTCAAATCACAGCCTGTCTTACCAAACGCCTGTAAATATCTATCCTGGCTGGAACGAAAATTTTAGTTCTGAACAGAATCACTGTGTTCCCGAGTAATTTCCTTTCTCATATTCCTTCCTGTTCCAGAGTTAATATCCTCCACGGAAAGTATGTGATGGTTGAACCTGAGAACAAAAATGCCCCAGTGTATGAAGTTGCGTGAATGAGAGGTGTAGTGAGCAGACCTTGGGAGGAATCCACGAATCTTTCTGTAAAGACTGGATATCGACCCATCCAATTAACACACCCACGCAACTGTCAGGGCTCTCCAGTGAGGTGACGAATCTCTCCTCCTCCTGCAATCCCACTGCAGAGCATGTAGTTGATTTAATTAAAGAATAACAACCCCAGAGCAAGGAGTGTGGCACAGAAGCCCTCCCACAAATGCTGCCTTCTCCTCCTCTGGTTTTCCCACGATAGAGATCATTGCTTGATGGGCTTGTGTTGAGAGCAACCAAACACCCCAATACCTTTGTCTTCTATGTGTTTGGAACTTTAATACCTTTTCTTTTCTTTTTTGGTGTTCAGGCCACACCTGGCTTTGCTTAAGGCTTACCTTTGCCTGTGCACTCAGGGATCACTCCTGGCAGACTCGGAGGCCCCTTTGGGGAGCTGGGGATCGAACCCAAGTTGGCTTCGAGCAAAGCAAGTGCCCTCTCTGCTGTAGTATGGCTCTTGCCCCTGAATCCTTTATTATTATTATTATTATTATTATTATTATTATTTATTAGTGAAACACCATGAGAAACAGTTGTAGACTTACAGATTTTTGTGCTTGGGTGTCAGTTATACAATGATTGAGTACCCATCCCTCCATCAGTGCCCATTCCCCACCTCCAATGCTCCCGGAATCCCTCCCACCCCCCCACCCCCCATCCCACCTCAGCCCTGTGGCAGGGCATTCCCTTTTGTTCTCTCTCTCCTTTTGGGTGCTGTGGTTTGCAAAAGAGGCATTGAATGGCAATCATGTTTGATCTATAGTCTACTTTCAGCATGCATCTCTCATCCTGGGAGGATCCTCCCAACACCATTTATTTGGTACTCCCTTCTCTATCTGAGCTGCCTTCTTCCCCAGCATGTGTGGCTGGCCTCCAAGCCATGGAGTGAACCTCCTGGTACTTATCTTGGCTATTCTTGGATGTTAGTCTCCCAACTCCCCCAGATGAATGCAATCTTTCTATGTCTGTCCCTCTCTTTCTGACTCATTTCATTTAGCATGATACTTTCCATGTAGTACCACTTGCATGTAAATTTCATAACTTCATTCTTTTCTAACAGCTGCATAGTACTCCATTGTGTAGATGTACCAAAGTTTCTTTAACCAGGCATATATCCCGGAGAGGCAAAAAAGTACAGTCGAAATGACATCTGCTCTTCTATGTTCATTGCTGTACTATTCACAATAGCCAAAATCTGGAAAAAACCCAAGTGCCTGAATCCTTTTTCTAAACGGGGCCTTGTTCATGCCTGGACCCTTGAGCTTGCTCCTGATCCCAGGAAGCTCTTTTCAACCTGCTGTCAACACTGCAGCTGTGAGGGGCTGTGAGACCTGGGCAGAGAAGTTTGGGCAGAAATGTAACAGAACTGCATGGAGTCTTTGCGGGTGGGGAGAGCATCCTCTCACCCCTGTCGGTCAACACCAATTTGACCTCAACTTTGAAATCTATTTCCTATTGGTTTGGTTTGGGGGGCATCCCAGTGGTACTCAGGGCTTACCCGTGGCTCTTTTCTCAGGCATCACTCCTGGCAGGGCTCAATGACCCCATTTGATGCTAGGGATGGAACCAAAGTAGTCATGTGAAAGGAAAAGTCTTAACTTCAGGCCCGTGTCACATGCCCCCAGGACATCGGTTTTGAGGTTCCAATACTAACTTTCTTTTTCTAGGGGCCAGATGGTGCTGGGGCTTGGGGTCACATGTCCTCAGGCCTGGACATACCAGCTTCCTGTTAAGCCCCATAGTATACCCCTTTGTCCGACACTATTTATTTGAGGATAGGTTGAGTGACACCCAGTGGTGCTCAGGGCTTACTTCTGACTCATGGAATTACTCCGGGTGGTGTTTGGGAGGACTCTATGGGGTGTGGGGGACTGAAGCCAGGCCAGCTGTGTGCAACGCAAGTGCCCCATGCGTTATACAATCTCCCTGGTCACCCAATCTCTTTATTTTGTTGTTTGGGGCCACACTCAGCAGTGCTCAGGGCTGATTCCTAGGCTCTGTGCTCAGAGATCACTCCTGTTGACTCAGGGGACCATATGCGCGTTGGGGATTGAACCTGGGGTGAATGCGTGCAATGCAATCACCCTCCTGGATCGACACACTCCCTGGCTCTAATGCAGCTGCCTCCATGGCACCTTTAGTGACGAGTCTGTCCCTAAATCCCCTCCACTCTCAGCATGTGTGAAATGGGCATTCCGACAGTCACTCCGCAGTCCACGGCGTAGCAGGACACTGGGGGCCTCTCCCAGACAGAAACCAGCTCGAGACTGAGGGTTCCTGCGAGGGAGCTGTAGCTGCAGCACACACGCGCACACGCACGCACGCACACATGCATGTGTGTGCACATACACGCACATGCACACGTACACGCATATACACTCACGCGCGCACGTGCATACACATGCACATGAGCACACACATGCACACACACGCCCGCACACAAGCAGGAGTGCACACACGGGCGCACACACGTACGCAGAGACACACCAAAATGCACATGCACTCACATGTGCGCGCATGCACGGACGTGCACACACACGCGCGCGCGCACTGAGCTCCCCTCCTCCCCGTCCTCCCAGCAAACCAGACCGCGCTCCTCACGCAAGGAGCGGGTGCTGCTCTCCACCTCGCCGCTAGGAGGCGCAGGCGGGCTGCTGCTGGCGCAGGGGCCGGGCAGGGCCGTGGCAGCTGCCCCTGGTGCTTTCCCGCCTTGGGCTCAGGGTCAGGAGCCCCCTCCCCCAGGCACGGACAAGCCTGGGCCCTCCCATCAATCAGTGGTAGCCGCTTGCAGAGGGGCTTCTGGGTCCCGCGCAGAGGGCGGCTCCATCACTCCTCTGCAGGGCCCACAGTGGCCCGAGGGTCCCACCTCCAGCATCTCGTGGGCCAAGGACTGGGGGGGGGGGGCGGGGGCGTGCATGAGAGCATCATCGTCGAACTTCAAACATCCTACTCACCAGGCCTAGCGCTGGGAACGTGAGGCGTCTGGTGGGGTGGAGGCTGGGGAGCACGGGAAGGGGTCGTAGGAGGGGAGGGGTCCTGGGTGCGCAGGTCCTGGAGGCCACGGGGGACCTGGGGATCGCGGGGCTGTGGCTGGAAGGCGCGGGGTGCGCGGGAGTCTGGGGCAAGCGGTGAGTCTGCGGCATGGGGGGTCCTGGGGGACACGCAGGGGGTCCTGGGGCACGAGGGAGTCTGGGGCGCGGGGGATCTTGGGGCGCGCGAGAGTCTGGGATACAGGAGTCTGGCGGGCGCAGGGGTCCTAGAAAGCGCGGGAGACCTAGGGCGTGCGGGGGTTCTGGGGCAAGGGGTGAGTCTGGGGCACGAGCAGGGGCTCTTAAGGCACGCGGGAGACTGGGGCGCGGGGGCGGGGCTACTTACAGGCTTGGAGAAGCCGCGGACCACCCGGCGCCGCTTGAGGTTGCTCTCCCCGTCCAGGTTGGCCGTCTCGATGTGGCACAGCCCGTTGGGGTCGCTGGAGGCCAGCAGCACGATGTCGGCGGGGATGATCTCATTACAGTGCAGGTAAACGAAGTCGCCCACGTGGATCTCCTTCCAGAACCGGTCCACGTACTGTTTCTCCACCCTGCACAGAGAGTGGCGTCAGCCAGATCCGCAGGGCCAACGTGGGGCTCACTTAAGTTTAATGAAAGCTTCTGTTTGTTTGTTTGTGGGCCACTTTAGGGTGGTGCTCAGGGCTTACTCTTAGCTCTGCACTCAGGGATCACCCCTGTCTGGGCTCAGGGGACCAAATATGGTGCTGGGGATCAACCTGGGCCAATGGCATGTGAGGCATAAGCCCTACCTGCTGTACTATTTGCTCTGACCCCATTAATTTTCTTTAATGTAGGAGTACTGCTATTTATTCAGCCATTGATTAGCTGATTGAATTGGGCATGAACTCCATCTTACTTTTTTTCATAATTTTATTTATTTATTATTTTGCCTTCTTATATTTATTTATTGAATCGCTGTGGGAAAAGTTACTAAGCTTTCAGGTTTAAGTCTCGGTCACACAATGATCAAACACCTCTCCTTGACCAGTACTCATTTTTTACCACCAAGAACCCCAGTATACCCCCCCACCCCTCCCAATGCCTGTGAGACAGATGATTTCCACTTAACTATTCTCTACATTGATTACATTCATTATTTCGACAAAAGATTCACCATTATTGTTTAGAATTCCCCCCCCCCCCCCAATCAGAATTGCTGAACAGGCATTGTGAAATACTTTGTTTTCTATAGCTGGTTATTAGAATCATATAATCTCGCGTGGTCACAATAGTGACCTCACGATTTTGGATTTCTGCAAAGAGCCAGATAATTATGAGATTGGTTTCTGTGCATCTGGTGTTATGGCTGTGCTGGAGAGCCGCTTGTGGGAGGCAACTCATGACCTCGGTAGGGCGCGAAGGACGAGCCAGTACCTCCCCCCCTTCCCATGAGACTGCAGTTGCCCCATCACTGCTGGCTCATACCTGGCTTTTTTATAAGCTCCGAGGCGGTGGTCACCTTGCTCCGGGGGGGGGGGAGGCGGAAGGGAGCAACACCTTTTCCCTTCCAGGGAGGCATGGCACCGTAGTTTAATGCATGGTCCATTCACTTTTCTGCCACAAGCGTCCAGGCTATGAATTAAGTCCTTTTGCCTCTGGAGCCATGGCCGTGCCAGAGAGCCGCTTGTGGGGGGCAACTCGTGACCTTGGTAGGGCATGAAGGACAAGCCGGTACCATTCCCCTTCCCATGAGACTGCAGTTGCCCTGTCACCTCTGGCTCATACCTGGCTTTCCAAGAAGCTCTGAGGTGGCAGCCACCTTGTATGTGGTCCAGATGCATTTCTGCCAAAAACCACTGGGTTTCAAGATTTGTTTCTGAGTCTCTGGGATCATGGCCGTTAAGCAGCTTGATCAGGAGCCAGAGAGGCCATTTGTAGGTGGCGATTCGGGGTCTCACTGGGATGGGGAGGAAAGGGCTGGTTCCACCCCTATCTCATGAGGCCCTGCGTGTCTCGTCACTGCAGGCCAAAACCTGACTGTCCAGTGGCCTCTGGAGGATGGTGGTCACCAGGCCGCCAAGGGGAATGGGCCAAGGCACGAAACGTATTCCCACCTGGAGTGGCCCAGCACCAGTAACCTACTGCAGGAACAGAATGCATTTCTGCCAAAAGTCTTTGGGTTCTGAGATTCGTTTCTGAGTCTCTGGGATCATGGCCGTTAAGCAGTTCGGTCAGGAACCAGAGAGGCCTTGACTCCAATTATATAGCTGAGCCAGAGGTGGTTTGTGTGTGTGTCTCCCACATACCTAACTTTTGGCCGTTTACTTTCTTGGTAAACTTTGCCTCAAGTTTTTGGGATCTGGCCAAGGGCACAGCAGCAATTTTGGGGTATCTGAAAGCCTGACGGTGCCATTAGGCTGCTGATGCACTCGCCTCAGAGGTACAGATTGACCTGCTGGCGGCACCATACCCCCAATCTGACCCCATTATTTAAAATTTTGTTTAAATGAAACAAGATAGTATTTGTTTACATGCTTGAGACATTATTTGAACATCCTGACTTACAAAGTTGTCTACTAGTATAGTTGTCTCAGGCATTCAACATTCCAACACCAATCCTACCATCAGTGCGACTGCCGCCCCTCTCCCCCTCCGCCAAACAGCACAAAAGCAAGGACACTTACTTAGGAAGATATGAGGGGAGAGAAACAGAGAAGTGTGTGTTCAAGAGAGAACATGGGCATCTCCCGAGGGGAAGAAGCTGTAAGCAAACAGACAGAAAGACAAACACGGGAGGCGCCGTGTTCAAGGGCGAACGTGAAACATGGGCTTGAAGAGCATGTCCTAGGGTTCATTGAAAGCCTCTTTGATTTTTTATGACAGGGAAAACTTTCAGGATATAAAGTGTACTAAAAAGGAGAAAGGAGCCTGAGACACAGCACATGACTTAAGGCATGTGGCTTTCACGTGGCTGACACAGGTTCCATCCCTAGCACTGATTGGGTCCTCCAAGCTCTGAGCCAGGAGGCCCTGAGCACAGCTGGATGTACTACCCATCGCCCCCCCCCCCCCCTCACTCAAACCAAACATAAAACTTTACTTTGAGATTAGAGAGCTACTGCATTGTTTGAAGCCCTTCCTGGCCTCCTGCTGATACCACTAGGTCCCTGGCACCATATACATTCCCCAAGCACTAGTAGGGGTCACTCCTGAGCACATCAAGTGTCACACTTCCCCACCACCTCCCAATAAAATAGATGTTGAACAGAAAAACTACCGTGGATCTTTTCTGAATTTTTCTCCCATTCTTAGACAAGCAGACTTTAGTCATCCTACAAAAGGTTTTTTTTTTCTATTGAGGTCTACACCCAGCCATGCTCCAGGAGCCCCCTGTAGATTCCAAGGATCAGACTCAAATATTCTCACATTGAACTATTTCTGTAGCTTCTGTGGTGTTCATGGGACCCTGCAGTGTAGGGGAGAGAACCCAGGGCTCTCACATGCAAAGCAGATACACAACACTTTGTGGATTCTTCCTTCAAGCCAGACCCTCATGGCTGGGCAACCTCTGAAGCTGCGGGTCCTTTGTGACTGCGGGTCCTTTATGGCCTGGCTCTGAGTTAAGGCTGACAAGGGCCCCCAGGAACCCACAGTGCCCACTGGCTCCATTTCTCCCCGAGGAGAGATTCTCAGAGCAGATGCCTGATTGATGAGGTCCTCCTTCCTCTTCCAGACCTTGACTTTCTCCAGTTTTTCTCCATGACGACCCTGGCCAGATTCCCAGGAAAGAGCATGGGGCTCCCCAGAGCTGAGCCGCCTACATCAAAGACAGGACAGTGTCCGTCCTGGAGGTGATGACAGGCTTTAGCAGGGCAGGAACTGCAGTCTCCAAGGGCCTGGAGATGTCCCTGAGGCACGGGGACAAGCAGAGAGCACCCTGTCTGTACCCAGAGAAGCTACCCGCCTCTCCTCCCCAGAGCGCCTGGCCACTCTGCTCCCCTCCACTCCTCCCTTGGGGCTTGCTCACCCCCTATGTGTCTTTGCAGCATTTTATTCTGAGCTTCTCCCACTTGGCCCCAGAGCCTGGGAGCCACTCCCTGCAATACTTGACCCAGCAGTGCTTATGCTGGGTCCACCCTTGTCCTGTGCAGCTGGTGCCAGGGATCCAACTCATGCCCCACACATGCAGTAACTTGAAGCTTCTCAAAATCCAGAGAATCCTCTGCAGGGGAAACAATAAAGATACAGGGACCATAGAGATAGTTCAGTGGGCAGGGCACTTGCCTTGTACACAGCCAACCCTAGTTCCATGCATGGCACTGTAGGGAGTTCCCTGAGCACCACCAGAAGTTATCCCAGAGCCAGAACCAGGAGTAAGCCCTGAGTATCACCGAATAGGACCCAAATTCCCAAACTATAAAAAAAAAAAAAGAATAAGGAAACTCCGTTAGACCACGCCAACTGGAGAACAAGCAGTAATCCACGTTTTCATGCCTCAGGAGGGTCCCTCAGTCACAGGATGGGGTGGAGTTCCACTCCTCACACCCGCTCTGTTTTGAAGACTGTTCTGTAAATATTTTCCTAAGAGGAGGTAGCTGCCTTAAGAAATTCAAAGGGGTTTCTTAAAAGGACTTGAAAAGCCGGCTTCTGACCAGGGATCACGTTTCTCAGAGTTCTCTGAAATGCACCGGGTTTAAGGACCAGGGTGCAGAAAAGCTAGGTTTTATCCAAAGGATGGGGGTACACTGGGGTTTTTGGTAGTGGAGAATGGGCACTGGTGAAGGTACGGGTGTTTCATTGTATGACTGAGACTTAAACCTGAAAGCTTTGTAACTGCTCTCATGGTGTTTCAATAAATAAAATTATAAAAAATGGGGGAAAAAACGTAAGGTGGAGTTCATGCACAATTCAATCAGCCTAATCAGTGGCTGAATAAATAGCAGTACTCCTACATAAACAAAACAAAACAACACACACACACACACACACAAGTTCTATTCTTGAATGATGCTCAAATCCTCACTGTGATAACACACCCAGGGGGCGCCCCCTGCCTCTAGGGACCACAGGGTGTCCAGTTCTATTTGGGGCTCTCGGCGAGGGGCAAAGTGGGAGGCACATCACAAAACCAACAAAGACACAGAGGTGTGTGAAGCAAGTGTCTGCTTTGGACAAAGAATGTTCTGAGCAACCAGTTATGGCATCTGTGTGATTGATGGTCCAGAGTGCAAAGTGGCTGTTTCACTCTTTTGGCCTGGCCATGGGGCTGAGGGCAGGAGCTGGGATCAATTGAGCACATACACATCTGGGCAGAGCTAATGACAGTGTGACACAGGAAATAGGACCCCATAGCACACTAAGTCTAAGTGATAACATTTGCACACAGTGCTAAATCCCGGTAAAGAGTAAGCCCCCATGCCCATGTGCCAAGCGTTTCCTGTGGGTAAAACATCCCGTGGATAAGAGAGGAATGTTCTGACGAAAGCTGTGTTTCAGTTCTAAAACAGCGGTAATAAATTCTGGCCAGAACTATTTGGATGTTTTATGTCGTAGAGACAAGGCTTTGCTCTTTTCGTCCAAATGGCTCAAG